TTCGACACCCTAGGTATTGTTCCAGGGGTTGTTATATTATGTACCATTGCCTGTATTACAACATGGTCAGACTATATCGTGGGTGTCTTCAAGTTGCGACACCGTGATGTTTACGGTATCGATGATGCTGGAGGGTTGATGTTTGGCCGAATTGGGAAGGCATTTTTTGGTTCGGCCTTCTGTCTTTGTGAGTATATGATCGTAAACCTTAAAGTCCGGCCGTATTCTGACACTCCCACTAGACTGGGTTTTTGTTGCTGGTTCCGGAATGCTAAGCATATCAATTGCCTTGAATGCTCTGTCAACTCATGGTACCTGCACTGCTGTCTTTGTTGCTGTCGCGGCTATTGTAGGCTTCATGCTGTCCAGCATCCAAACATTAGGTCGCATGGGCCCACTAGCATGGATCGGCTTGGTTTGCATCATTACTGGCAGTAAGATCTGGTTTTTTTCCCCTTAAATCTCTGTCTGCATCTGACCAAATATTACAGTTCTGGTCGTGACCATCGCCGTTGGTGTTCAGGATCGACCATCGGCAGCACCACAGGACGGTGTCTGGATTTCGGATTACCAGATTGCGGGTAGCGCTCCATTTAGCGAATCTATAACCGCTGTTTCTTCCCTGGTATTTGCCTATGCAGGTAGGGAAACATCTTTGACGAGCAGGGGAAGTTGGTGAGATAATGATTGAGTATTGACGTAAATATGTTCAAATAGGAACACCGTCATTCTTCTCTATTGCAGCCGAAATGCGCGATCCTCGTCAATACACTCGGTCGCTCTTGGTTTGTCAATCTGTTGTCACTGGTGTTTACCTTGCCATCGGTTGCGTTGTGTATTACTACTGCGGATCTTACGTTGCCTCGCCTGCTCTTGGCTCCGCTGGCCCAACATTGAAAAAAATCAGCTACGGCTTTGCCTTGCCAGGTCTACTTGTCACAACCATGCTTGTGATTCATGTGCGTCACTTTTTGAATAGAAAGATACCCATTTCCAACTCGCTAACATACTCGAAGCTCCCGGGAAAATACATATTTATCCGTCTTCTAAAAGGATCACGGCATTTAACTGCGAATACTGTGACTCACTGGGTGGTTTGGCTTAGCTGCACTTTTGGCATTACCCTAATCTCATACATTATTGCCAGCGCTATTCCAGTGTTTGACAATCTTGTTTCTCTGGTTGGCGCTTTGCTCGGGACCCTAATGTCATTCCAGCCTATGGGTTGCATGTGGCTCTATGATAATTGGAGCGAGGGCAAAAAGGCACGGTCGCCTCGGTGGATTATGATGGTATGCTGGAGTGCGTTCGTGATCTTGTCAGGAACATTCCTCATGGTTTCTGGCACCTATGGTTCCATTGTGACCATCATGAATAGCTACAACTCTTCGGGAGGATCTGCCGCCTGGTCATGCGCCGACAACTCCAACTCGACGTAAGCGGCATTTTGGAGGATGGTCCAATGACTCATTCATTATCTGGAACGCCTCACAAACCCTATCCATTCATTCATGATAAGATAGGTTAAGCTCAAGGAATGCGGGGTGAACCAATCGGTTTCGGAATCCCACGAGGTTTAATTCCTATTCGGATTGGGCCATAAAGATCTTTTCGAAAGATGTTCCAGTCTTCTAGTTAGTACTCACATTTCTATATAGATATTTCATTACTAGGAAGCGTAGAAAGTGGCGAAATTGAAATAGTATAGGTTTAAATTATATCCTCATACCAAGTCTTCCTTATTTCGAGTTTATGGCTTCAAAATGTTTATTCAGGGCCCTTTAAAGGTAGAGTCCTACCCCTCTTACCATAGACTCTCTTGTTATGACGCCTCCGCTTTCTTGGCCGCAGAAAATGACCGGGGTTATCGTCTTTGGAAATTACGGCACATGCCCTGACCGCATGGCTTTAGTGTTACATCGATTTAGCTCACTGTCGTGCGGGTGATGTTATGTTCCTGCAGTCGGAAAGGAAAATCTCTTGTTTTTTTCTTCTCACACACAGTCGCCTGCTGACTTTTAACAACGACTAAAGAAAAATGCTTCAAATTCCCAATTTCTTTCTAGATGCCGGATGGTACGTACTACGCTTCAAGTTACATTCACTCTCACATTCCGCTCAAACTATCTTCGAATGCCGAGGAGCCTTCGATGCAACGGTTTCGAAGGTCCGGAACACCAGATCATCTATCTCAGTCGCGAGATACGCTCCGAAGTATCTGAATGGCTCGCGGGTATGATTACAGAAGCGAGAATGTTACCCATCCGTAAAAGTTCCGACTTTCGGTTGAGCGTGGCCATGCGACCATGTGTCGAGCCGGAGAAAAGGATACCGGAACGATCGACAAACAATCACCCTCCATATTTCAGGTTGCCTACAACGTGGCGCGCTAGTTATTATGCGTGATATTCGATATCTATGCCTTTTCAGAAGTCCGATCGACGTTCTGTATAATGTGGCGCTTTCTTTATCAGTGTTTGATGCGTTGATGAAGTCCGTTGACTTCGTCGCCCGATAGTATCTGCTGAACTTCTCGCATTAGTGGAGGCTATCGTTGTTTTCAAATGCCACATGGTAAGTTTATTCCCCACCATAAAACTAAGTTTCGCAGCAATTATGGCGAGGTCGCTCTGCATGCGATCATATCCGGGCTTCAAGTTATTATCTCAGATTTTTGAATGTCGGAAGGTGCATATTTGGGGCCACAGGAGAGGGGCCAAAGAACTATACTATTCTGACAAGAGGGTTCTAATTGGATCGCTCTTTTTTTTGGCACACATTGTTTAACTTTCCTTTCCAACCTTGGAAGTTGGCAGTGGTTGAAATGGATTTCGTAGTATATATATAGGTATCATGATACATTTTCCAGTGCCAGACTATTTTTTTGAACTTCAAGTCCACGGGTTGAACGATTGTTGCGACTAAGTTTGCAGTAATCACATACCCAAGTAAAACTTTTATTATCCTGAGACGCGTTCATGATTCAAGATGCGTCTTATCCATCTTTGCTTCTTATGCTTTGGGTTGGCAGCACATGCTGCTGTCATTCAACGCCCGAATCACAATACGACCGAAATTGAGGCTCGTGATGCTGCTACTAGCTATCGGTCCGTCGCTTATTTTGTGAACTGGGTATGGAATAATAATGTATTTGAAGACTGAAACTAAAAAAAGTTCTCCAGGCTATTTATGGTCGAAACTTCAATCCTCAAGATCTTCAAGCTCAGAGCCTAACACATATTCTCTATGCCTTCGCCAATGTGCGATCGGATACAGGAGAGGTATTCATGACGGATTCTTGGGCCGACACTGATAAACACTACCCTGGTGACTCCTGGAGTGAAAGCGGAAACAACGTTTATGGCTGTATCAAACAGCTGTTTCTGTTGAAAAAACAAAATCGCAAGTTGAAAGTCCTCCTCTCAATCGGTGGCTGGACCTACTCCTCGAATTTTGCAGGTCCCTTGAGCACTAGTGCAGGGAGAGCAGAATTTGCTTCATCGGCTGTGGCCCTGGTCCAAAACCTTGGTTTTGACGGGCTGGATATCGATTGGGAATACCCGGCAGACAGCACCCAAGCGGCTAATATGGTGGCTACTTTGCAGGCTCTGCGTTCTGTGAGTTTCTTTAAGTGTTTCCTTACGCTGGCGCAGAGTCCCCAAAGCTAATGAGATCTACTAGGCACTCGATAGTTACAGTGCGACCTATGCAAATGGATACCATTTCTTGATAACTGTCGCTTGCCCAGCTGGTAAGTGCAATAAAATCGTGTTGTATTTCGTTAGAAGGGATCATCATTGACAATAAAGATAGGTCCTTCCAACTACCAGCAGCTTGATCTGTCCCAAATGGATCAATACTTGGACTTCTGGAACCTCATGGCTTATGATTATTCCGGAAGCTGGGATAGTATTTCTGGCCATGATGCAAATGTCTACGCGTCAAGTGACAATCCAGCAAGCACACCCTATAATACTGACCAGGCCATATCATACTACACCTCCAATGGTGTAAGTGCCAACAAGATTGTTATGGGAATGCCATTATACGGCAGGTCCTTCATGAACACGACTGGACCAGGAACAAGTTTCAATGGCGTCGGTAGTGGTAGCTGGGAGAATGGCGTCTGGGATTACAAAGCGCTCCCTCAGGCAGGCGCTACAGTCAACTACATTGACTCAATTGATGCAAGCTACAGCTATGATTCTTCACAGCAAATGATGGTCAGCTATGACACGCCGCAGGTTGCTCAGAAGAAGGCGCAGTACATACAGTCAAAGGGTCTCGGCGGAGGAATGTGGTGGGAGTCCAGTAGCGATAAGACTGGCTCTGATAGCCTGATATCTACGGTAAAAAAACGCCCCCAGATCAAGGAAACCGTCTCGATAAGCTGATTTGAGATTTTTCCAGGTCGTAAATTCGTTTGGTGGCGTCGGTGCTTTGGACCAGAGTCAAAACCAGTTAAGCTACCCAGCATCGTCTTACGACAATCTGAAAGCCGGATTCCCATCTAGCTGAACGCATTCGAGAAGAACTGACCCTGGGCTACGTGCCAATTTGAACTTTTTTGTTTTGGGTTTCACCTGCGCACGGATAGCATACTATCTGCTCTTAAGTTACCACTCGCTTCTTGAGGTACATACACGAACCGTCAAATAATCTCACTCACTAGCTAGAAATATGTATAAACTTTACGGGACTATCGCACTCTGCAACTTGAATATGGTACCTAGTACTAGTAAGAGCTACTATCATAAAAGGTAGCAGATCTGCTAAGGTGGGATTTACTATATTACTACTACTAGGATCATATAAATCCTAGAAAGAAGTATAGATGAGCAGTATTAATCAAGCACATTACGTTTCTTTCATATATATTACTATACACAGGAATAAATACCCCCATAACTGGTATCACTAGATAAATACGAAATAAATACGCCCTATATCATCCAGATGACCCCGGCGATCACCTGTCACTACATTCGAGAGCGAAGATATCAGAAGTTCCCGCCAGCGACCTCCTTTCCTTCGCTAACAGACCCTCCAGATTGTGAAGCGGGGGTACTCGCAACTCCAACTTCTTTGTTACCATCGGAAGTTCCAGAAATATGATCTTTCCCAGTGAGACCACGATAGACCTGAAGAATCTGTTGTATGCCGCCGTCTAGTAACGGTGCAAAAATTGCAATAAGCATGGTACCCCATAGCCAGATAATGGCGACGACAACCCAGGCAACAAAGAACTATTAGAATCACTGAATTAGAATGGTTTTACACAGCACGATAGGATTTACTTACTTTCTTTCCAAAAACATACTGCGAACCATACATGGGCAACGGCCAGATTACCCAGTGACCCAGGAATGTTGCGACAGACCAAAAGGCAGCGATACGGCCCCATCGCTTGAGCTCTTGCGCATCCGCGGAGGCACTGTTCACACCACCTTCCTCGATGCTGCCGGCCACATTTTGACTAGAGGGCTCGTCATGGTGAACGGTGGTTAGCTCACTGTCCAACTTTTCCAATGCAAGTTTCTCTTTTTTGAAGTGGGCCCAGTCATAGTTCTGGGGTTTGATAAGAGTGATCACGACCGAGTACAAGATTGGCGAGAAGCAGGAGGCTACTGTTCCGTAGACACACGGTAGTATTTCACCTGTCGTTGCAACGGATACTTCACCAAAAAAGCGAGAGGCAGTTCCCAGCCAGACAGCAAGCCCAGTGGCCAAACCAAGAACAGGTGACAGAATGGCCGCTGCCTTGCTATGTTTACGCCACAGAACGGTGAAAACCATCGGGAAAATGCCAGGGCAGGTCACGACTCCTAGCTCGATATTAGCGTTTTTCAAAATACCGAATGTAAGGAATGTCTCTCACCAAGCATGTACAAAGTCCAACCAAGGTCAATTCCGACATAGTGAAGCATCGTACTGAAGCCGGCTGAAAACGCAGCGAAGAATACCACACCGAAATGACTGGATCGAATCAAGTCCCTGTCAGTCGCAGATTTCTTGAAGTATTCGCGATAAACATCAAAGCTGAGAATCGAGCTGACTGCAATCACTTGTGCCGAGAGGGTTGAAGTTACAGCCATGAAAATGATCAAGAGCACAGCTGCGGCTCCACCTTTCCCTGCAATTGTGATCGCAGCATAGGGGAGTACAAGACCACTGCTGACCTCCGAAGATGTCATTCTCTGTAATTAAATATCAGCGGTGTTCAAGTAAAGCAGAGTCTGGAAGGAGTATTACCCGAGGGAAAGTTGGGAAGTTTGACTGGTTCTCAAGACCAAGAGCCACAGAGCTCATCACAGTACCTAGCGCCCAAGGGATGGCAAAATAAGCGATTCCACCAATTGTATATCCCGGTACCACCGCTGATGGCTTTGCCGAGAAGGCTTTGATGAAATAGCTGGTATCCATCTTGGCAGGTCAGCAGTGGATCCTGGTTGCTGAGGAATACAAAACTCACAATTACCAGACCAAAGTTGGAGCAGGTGTGAAGTATAGCAAATAGAATCGCCTATGAAAGCGTCAAATAAAAGGTCCAATCAGGGGATCGATCGAATACTTACGCTCTTTGATGTCATAGTAAGGTAGGTACCCTCATGATTTCCAGAAACTGGATGTCGCTGGGCAGCTGCTTGCACTAGATCAAACAAGTTCTCGATTGAGCCAACTTGGTCGGTTGAGAATGCCTTGATAGAAAAGTAGCATGCGATTATCAAGATAATTGCGGTGTGAAAATAATCAGTCAAGAAACTTTAAATAGTTAGTGTCTTGAGCGAGGTATCTCAATGATGAAAGCAAGGAAGCTCTCACGTTGCTTTAATTCCACCGACAAAGGTATAGATTGTCACTCCGACGGGTAATAGGAAGGTAGATGCAATAATGTGCATTCCAGAGCTATTATAGTTAGTGAATAGAGCCGACAAAATTTAAAAAAGAAACATACACGGCAGTAATCACAGCGGAAGCTCCGAGTAGCATATTTGCGCAGGCGAAGATGTTGTTGACAAGACAAAGCACCATGAATACCACATGAGCGACTCGGCCTAAAATTATCAGAAGTCAGCAGAGAAGATGACAAACTAGAGGGAAAGAAAAGATACCGTAGCGAATACGAACAACCTCCAAAGATGTATGTGCCTCGGGAATCTTTCGTTTACACGAGATTCCAAGTAGAGCAAAAAACACGATCATAGGGCTGCAGCCAGCAGCGAACCAGAAGGGGCCGGCGATACCATAGCTATAACCGACAAATGAAGAGCCTAGGAGTGCAGTAGACCATAGCCAAGACTGGCGGGGCCTGCGTCAGTATTCCCTATTCTCAGAAAAAGAACGAGGTGGAGTTTGAAGCCTTACCGATATCACAGCGGATGCTGTAAGACCTGTCCGAACTGTTCGATTTGCTGTCATAAACCTGTCAGGTTGTTAGAAGCAATGCGTGAGTTTATAAATAGAGAAAATCTTACATCTCTGTCTTCTTATTATCTTCTCCTGCTGTCTTCTTCAGCACTTTCGTGACAAGCATCATGACTGCCGCCGTATTAGCTGTGTTTTTCATGGCTTTTCTTTCGATCGCGAAACTCTTCTTACTAAAAGCAATAATAATTCCAATCACAACCACAACCACGTAGCCGACCGCCTGGGACAGAGGCGGGTCAACCGTTGAGATGCCATCGCGAGCATACAAATTGGACATAATGAGTCCTGCAATATTGTAGTTTAGTGCGAGACGGCAGTTCGAGTAAATTTGGTTCGAGGCAAAAAGGCCGTCATGTATATGAGAGAAAAGTTGAAAATTGGAGATCTTCCCAAGTATCAAGAGCCTAGAAAAGCTGGGGCTGATGTGGGCTTAAATCATATCCAGCCCTCTGGGTGATCAATATGCTTCCCAGGGACAGGGCGAGCAAGATCTCTATGCTGCAAAACCATAGCCTCGGTGTCAGCGGAGCGAATTAGCTAGGCCGGTTGCGCGGTGACTTGATAAATGGATTCGATGAGGTGCTTTTAGGACTTCTCACACAAAAAAGCCATTTTTAGGTTTAGAGAGATTGAATGGTTCGCTATGGCGTTATCGCGATATGGAGGAAGATCACCACACGAGCTGACAATTCCCATTATGAGAGCCAAAAGGCCATTTCAAGCACATTGATGCTCTTGCGGAATTTGTAAATTTAAGAGAGAGGCAGTGTCAAACTATAGTCCATGGAGCTGCCGTGATATCAGCTGGGTCGAACCAAGAGGCGGGCGGAGGCCGTCTGGGGGAGAAAGATAGGCCTCTGGCATTGACATATGACATCAATTCGCGCATTATAATGGTCCAATTAAGAAGGGACAATTCAGGACCAGGCTAATATTATGCTCAATGGATTCGAATCGAGTGTGAGGTAGCAAATTATTAAGCCTCATTAATCTAACCGAAGATCAGGAATGGGCACATACGAGACTTCGCGGCAACGCCTCACGACTCCCACCTCTCTCGCCCGAGAGACGTCCAGAAAAAGCAATAGATGGAACATCTAGCTCGCACGGCCGGACGAGTATAATCAAGTACCGACCAGTCAGAGCGACTCTTGTTGATAAATGTGCCCCTCAAAGATCTCCTGCACTATCGCGCCATCGCGGCCCACATTGATGCTATGCGATGCTCGGATGCACGGAGTGACGCACGCGGGGCATGGTGTGCTCAGTGATCGCCATACAAATTGGATGGAGACCCTCTATAACCATGAGAAAATTCCTGGAGTGAAATCGGCGAAAGCATCGTGGTTTATCGAGTATCTTTTTTGTTCAAGGCATCATAAACGAAAACCCTCGGCATAATGTCTGGAGACACACATGGCTCTGGGGCTGAAAAGCCTAAGAAGTCCTTGATTCTAAATGCTTTTGTTGAAATGTGTAAGTTATGACTCTCCTCCTTTCCTTATGATGCTTTGTTTTGTCTTTATTTGTCTTTTTCTTTTTGCTTTTTCCTATCCTACAAGAGGCTAACCAGGTTACAGGCAGCGGGCACCAGTCCCCTGGTCTCTGGCGACACCCAGAAGATGAATCCCATCGATTCAATGATGTAGACCACTGGATTGAGCTTGCGCAATTGCTCGAGTCGGCCAAGTTCCACGGTATCTTTATCGCGGATGTTCTCGGTATTTGCTCTTCAACTCAGACTCCCCCGTCAAAACGGAATTTTCCAGTGTACTTACTGAAACCATCGTTCTAGGTGGATATGATGTCTATAAGGGTCCGCGAAACTTGGATCCTGCAGTTGTCTCAGGGGCACAGTGGCCAGTCAACGAGCCTTTGGCAGTTGTGCCTGCAATGGCTGCCGCCACCAAAAACATAGGTTTTGGAGTTACAGTAACCACAACATACGAGCAGCCCTACCATCTCGCAAGGCGACTTTCAACTGTTGACCACCTTACCAAGGGACGGTATGTAGATCACAGGTCGGAGCCATGAACCTGACCCTCAACTAACCATTTTCCAACGACAGACTCGGATGGAATGTGAGTACAAAGATAAAAGACGGGTCCCACCCAGCAAACGACAAAGTGAGGTATTGAACTTCAATTCTAGGTCGTAACGGGCTATCTTGACTCCGCTGCCAGGAACATGGGTCAGGCAGAGCAGCCGCATGTAAGATTGTATCCCTACATTCTATGCGATGGTGTGGGTCCTTAACACAATTTTAGCACGACGATCGATACGCCGTGGCAGAAGAGTATGTCAAGGTAACCTATAAGCTCTGGGAATCATCCTGGCGCCAAGATGCCGTTGTTCGTGATCGCGAGCGCGGTGTCTACACTGAAACGGATCGCGTGCGACAGATCAATCACTCTGGAAAGTATTTCAGCGTACCGGGCCCTCATCTCACTCAGCCAAGCCCGCAGCGTACGCCAGTCATCCTGCAAGCCGGCACTTCAAAGGCCGGAAAGACTTTTGCAGCCCAGCATGCAGAAGCAATATTTGTGGCAGGCCACAGTCCATCAGTTGTTGCAAAGAATGTGGCAGAAATCCGTCAACTCGCTCAGACGGAGTTTGGACGGGACCCACAAAGCATCAAGTTCCTCGCCTTGCTCTGTCCAGTGTTGGGTCGAACGGAAGAAGAGGCTCGTGCGAAATTCAAAGAATATCGCAGCTATGGGTCGATTGATGGTGCCTTGGCCCTCTTCGGGGGATGGACTGGTATTGATCTCGACAAGTATGGAGATGACGAGGAACTTCGCCACGTAGAGAGTAATGCCATCAGGTAGGTCCCTCTTTCTGTCCAAGCCGCGCCCTCCAGTTCTTGAAGGATCAGTAATTGACCTTTTCTCTGTTCAGATCTGCCGTGGAAGGTTGGTCAAAGGCTACCCCAGAAGTCGCCAAATGGACCAAGGCCACTGTCGGTGAGCACATTACGGTTGGTGGACTGGGAGCCACTCCAGTTGGCACGCCACAGCAGGTGGCCGATAACATGGAGAAGTGGGTGAAGGAGGCAGATGTGGATGGATTCAATCTGGTAAGGTCAAACTTGTTCTGGGCGGCCAAAAAGAACAAACACAAAAAGGAAAGAAACTCTAACCATTTTCTAGGCCTACGCCATCAAGCCCGGCTCCTTTAAAGATATCATCGATCTCCTCATTCCTGAGCTTCGCAAGAGAGGTCTGTTCTGGGATGAGTATGCAGTTCAGAAAGGAACATATCGCGAGAATTTGTACTCGCGACCGGGTCAATCGGGCCCGCTAGCTGACCATCCAGCTGCGAGATATCGCTGGCAGGCTGGAGTCGATGCCGCGGACCATCCGGTGCCGGAGAACTAAGTATCGAGGTGGTGGCATTCACGAGAATCAATGGTCTTTATGGGGCTCGCACACCCCTAGAATAGTCATGAAGCAAGGGGAAGGAGAACAAATTTAAACATGAAATTTTTTGTAGGGCAAGATTGTATGCCCTCCCAAGGGTCTATTCTACAAACGCCAAACAAATGCGGTTTTTGTACATGGTGTCTCAATAAATAATAACCATTTAAGTCAGCATATCATCAAGGCGCTCACCGAGCACACCCTCAATCTGCTTCACCCACTTCCGCACTTCTCTCTCCACGCTCTCGTCCTCGTCCTCCATCAGCTCGCTGATGTAAGGCAGCATCTCCGGAAGCAGAGCCAGCCATTCCTCGCCAAGCTGCTCCGTCAGAGCCCGCTCGGTCTTCAGGGCCGCGAGACGAACAAGCGGGTTATCGCCGCTAGTAGACTTGGCATTCGGCGCAGAGGAGGGACGAAGGAATTTCATCAGAGCCATGTTGAGCTCCTTGTGATTATCAGTCGAGTCAGCGGCGACGGCAAGCTCGGTAATAGCAGGCACAACCTCCTCAACAACAAGATCGGAGGTCTTGGTAGAGGTGGCATGGCCGAGTTGTGAAATAAGCGGACCAGAGATGCTGGCAAGGTGCGAAGGGGATTGCCAAAATTCTATAAGAACGAATTAGGAATATGCGTTTGGAGTGAGTGCAGGGAAATGCTTACCATCTTGGTCATGCTCAAACGAGTTGCGGAGGGTACCCAGGGTAGCGAGCCAGAGGGATCGGGTAGCCTTGGACGGGTTGGTGGTGTTCAGAATTTGAACAACATTTTCAAGGATATAGTTGGAATATCCCGTGACAATTGACTAGAGACAGATATTAGCAAATTGACATTCTCCCACTTCTGGAAAATAGAACATACCTTAAGAGTGCCGAAGAAGACTTGGAGGAACTTGTAGAAGGTAGTGAGACGAGACATTTGAGCCTGCTCATCCTTCTTGGGTACACCATTCGTAGCCCACTCAACAAACTTAAGGAACAACGGCCGGAAGGTGCTGTCATTCAGCTTATAGATCATTTTGATGGTGACATCGTTGAGAGCGCTTTCGACTTCATTGATATCAGCCTCGTCAAAGTTGGAATGGTCGCCGGCGGCAGTCTGTTCGCGGCGCAAGTCGAAGGCCTTGAACAGAATCTTGCTGAGAACATTGATGGTGTTGATGACAGCCGACTTGGGGTGCTTCTCAACAGCAAGGCTGAGGACTTCCAAGATTTCGCCGGTGGCTGTGGGTCCAGCTTGGACAGCTTGTTCCCAGTTGCGATCGATTGCGCCAAGGGTAGCGCCGAGATCCATCTTGCGAGATGCCATGAGGCGGAGGGTTTCCAAGCGGCTACCCTCGCTACTCTCCTCAAGATCAGCATTGGCGGACTTGAAAGACAGAAGTAAAATTTTGTCCAGGTGAGCAGCTGAGATCATGAAGGGCAGATTAACAAGGAGAGCGGAGAAGAGGGAGAAGGTGGCATCGTGGAGGCGCGAATTCTCTTTATTGGGGGTCAAACTGAGCTCCAGTAGGGTCAAGGATTGGCTGAGGGTATCGGGGAGAGCGGGAATCATAGCTTGGCCCAGAACCTCGGCCATGGAAGCAAGGCACAAAACACCCATGATGCGAATGCGCTCATCGGACTGGCCAAGACAAGATTTACTAGCGACAACCCTGGCTGCAGTAATGACTTTGGACGGGTCCTTGCGGCCGTATTTCTCGGTGATGCGATCGATGCAAGCGACAGCAGCGTGTTTGATGAGGGCATCCGTCGAGGATTCGACAGTGTTGACCAAAGTGGGCAAGAAGTCGAGGACCCGGATTTGAGATGTGGAGTCCCTTTCTGGGACTTGACGAAGGCGGTTCTCGAGGAGACGAAGGACCTTCTGCCGCAGATCATTATTAGGTCCTTGCATCAAGACCTCAATGGTATCCAGGAAGTCAACGAGAGACAGTGTGCCCAATAGAGAGCCCAGAGCCTCACCAATTGCCTGGCTGACAGGCTTCATGTTCTTCACGAAGTCAAGAATGGCCAGGACCTGCTCAAGAACCCGAGAGTAACAAGCACGGGCTTGATCCGCAGTCTCCCCCTCGGTCTCGAAAGCAGCCTCTAACTTCGACTTGAGAGAGGAGTGCTTGAAAAGGTGAGCAAGATCGCGCAGGAGATCGACGGCAACCTTTTGAGGATCACGGCCATCGTCGCTACCAATGCCAAGTAGGACCTGAGAAATACCGGGCTTGGCTTTGAATGAATCGATCACCAGGTTGAGATATTTGCTATATGTGGTGAGCTCAACGACGGCGGTGGTATCCGAAGCAAGGCCGGTCATCAAAGTAAGGACATCCTTGTCGATCGAATAGCGGTTTGCAAGCATGGCAAGTACAGCGAAAAGGAAATCTTGCGTGCCAAGTTTGCTGATCAACGCATGGAAGAGGCGGAGGCGACGATGCGATGGAATGTGCTCAAATGCAGCAGTAAAGCTGAGAAGTAGCTCCGAAGTTCCCGAGACGATGTCACGTTTCTGGTTACGAAGGGATTGAATGAGCGCGGGAACAACCTGATCAATGGTCTGGTCAATGACAGAGACAGAGTAGTCATCATCTTTACGAAGAACACTTGATCCCATAAATGTGAAGATGGGCATCACGCTGTGGAGAACAAGCTCTGGTGCGATTACCGACAAACCGGCCACAAGGAGAAGGGCGGCATTTTGCACCTGGGGGCTATCTGTCGTACGAACACAGTCGACCACCAAGTCGGCACGAATGACCGAGGTGTCGAAAAGTGGCTTGGGAGAACCCTTTGACTTGTTGACAATAGCCAGGAGACTTCCCAACGTGAGACTCAGCAGATAGCTCAGTCCAGATTGAACCTGAGACTTGAAGTGGTGGAGGGCGGCAAGTGTTTGGAAAAGACCATCGGCCAACTCTGGATGCGAGTCGGGACTAGAGCTATCGATGACCTCGAGAATGAAGGTCATCTTGTCCATTAACTTGCTGAGCTCTCCCTCATCCTTCACTGTCATGGCAACCATGTTGTTTTGGCTGGTTCGCCTCCTCTTGGGTGCAGGTCCAACAGATTCGATATCTGTCAAGGAAACGGGGATTTTCTTGACAAAATTCACCAAGATGGCACCCGACAGCTCAACACTGCGAAGAACATCACGAGAGTGGTCGGCTAGGGATGCTTCGCCGGTTGACATACCCAATGCAATATCCAACAGCTTCTCGGCCGCCGATGCTTGATTATCCTCAGGGACCTTGGCCCATACTTCTTTCATTCGGGAAAAGCCAGCTGTAACAAATGACGGTCGCAGAGAATCGGCGCCAGGGGTGACCTGAGACAGCAGGATGCTGATAGCATCTGCTTCCTTCGGAGAGACAATGCCGACAATTTGATGGTCGGTTTCGGAGATGGAGAGGCGCTCTCTGCCACAAATTTCATCGACCTGCTTTTGATTCAGGCGTCGCCAGTCCTCAGCAAGGGGAAGAAGCTCCTTGGTGCGAGTGGTCCCTGGAACCTTCTTGACATTGTTCAGCAAACGCAGAAGAGCGAACTTTGGTGCAAAGACTGGCATTTGAACAACGTGGGAACAGAGGAAGGAGAAAAGGCTTGTCCGGAGAGATTTCTTCAATTCAGTGGCACCCGACGATTCAGACAACATTGTGCCACGAAGAGTAGCATCGATGACCTTGCCGATCTGAGCTGGGTCGAGAATGTATTCCTCGAGTCCCGGGATCAATGCACGCTCCAGGATCTTCTGCGCGTCCTGGGTAGATAACCATGAAACAGTAGTAGACTGCTTTCCCTTGCCATAGATAACATCATGGGCCCAGGGCTTGCTGGTTTCATCGACCTTTTTGCTATTCTTGTACAAGGAGTCAATGACGGCCAAAACACCAGCAGCCTCGCGACGAATACGCTCCGATGGATCAGACAGAGCCACAAGAAGGAATGGCAAAAGTGCCTGGGGATCCAGATCACCAAAAGATGTTGACAAAGTAGATGAGATGGAATTCAATGCAGCCACCTTCATGCCAATGGGATAGGAGCCAGAAATCACACGAGTGAAAAAAGACAAAAATGTAGGTGACTTTGTCACACTGGTCTTGTTGAGAATGCGCAAGTCATTGAACTTCTGGAGATAGTCGGCGGAGTCGGTGGTCAGGGCGAAAACTTGAGCGAGGCTGTCAAATTCTGGGATTGACTGCTTGCTAAGGAACGAAGACGAGTATTGTGGTTCGTTGGTCAAAGACTCCAAAGCAGGTGTAAAAGTGTCCACTGGCACCTGATCCACGTCCTCCATTTCAACGTCCTCGACAGCCAAAGGCTGAATGGGTGCCTCCACGACAGTTTGAAGGTTATGCTCCACGGCTGAGATGTTGAGAGAAGACTCCGCCAGGGTTTTCTGGAAAAGAGGACGAAGTGACTCCGAACGACTAAATCCTTGCACTAGCTCCGCGAGCTGAGTCTGGGTATCCAGTGAGATACTACGGGCCTCGTCAGTATCACCAGTCGCTTGGAGGACCATAGTCATAGCCTGCTTCATATCCTCGCCTTGCAAGGAACCCGAATCGAAGATGGATGAGAGCAGGGCAAGACGGGTGTTGTCCTTCTGCTTGTCCAGATCGCTAACACATCCGGAAACAAGTCCAAGGAACAGTTTTGAGGTTTGGTAGTGGGAAGTAACTTCGGAGAGCTGCCCCATGGGGTTATCAAGGCGGCTGATAGCCTTGAAGACCTTCTTCGGGAGAGTCGTGGATGACTTTTGTTGCGCAAGCACTGACAAGCAGATAAGACCGGAGCTCATTGTTTCCTCTGTCCAGGAAACGACCACAGTTTCCATCAGCCCATTAAGAACATCTTCGGAAAGCATTGCTTTCTGAGCCAGAACCACAGAGATCATGTAACAACTGACAATCAACTCTGAGACCTTCTTCATGGCGAAGCCATTACTTAGGATGGGAAGGACCCGGAGAACAATATCCTCATGTTTCTGCTGCTCGGCTTCCCTTCGACCAGAGCGAGAATTGTCCAGCATGCCAGCCACAGCCTCAGTGACAATACTAGCCCAGAACGAAAGCAGGGTGTGGCTTTGCGCCTGGAGCCGGCAAACGTTCAGAACATAGTCATTGAACGAAGCAAAGAACTCCTTATTGGTGGTTGCGCTGTGGACAAGGGGATGGCGTGGAGGGTTGACCAGACCAGTCTTATATGGGTATAGTACTTTGAATGTTGAGGTGAGGTCGGTAGGCAAAATCGAAAGAAGATTCACGAAGAGTGGGGTAGTGTGATATGGGAGGAAGGTGAAAAGCATAATAGCGGTGTTGTATTCGTGAGTTCTGTGAATTGGTCAATACAATATGGCCTTGCCAAAGCGCTTTCCACGCAACCTGTAAATGGGATGATTCGCACGAACCTAAAGCGTCTCACCAACCAATCCACCGCTTTGACTGCCGGGCTCAGTTGGAGTCTTCCTCCAACCAAAGCAAGGAAAGTGTCAATTACGGTGTCCAGCTCCTTATTCTGGGCAGCATTCATTTGCGTCCGGTCCTCAGACTTGCTCTGCTCGCTGAAGATTGTACGGGCGAACTGCTCGAAGCGACTGTCCAAGGAGCAGAGCTCCCGGAAGCCCTCATAGCAGATATCATAGATGGTGTCGAAATCTTGCGATCCGGCAATCTTGCGCTCGAAGATCAAGGAATGCGAATGGGAGATGCGTTGCGATTTCAAGTCGAGCTCGTTGGTCGACTTGGCCGCGATTTGCGACAACTGGGCGGCGAGGGAGGAGGCCATTGCGAAAGGATTGATATGATTGATTCTCAAACCAGATTCCTGTAGCCCATCGCTCTTCTTGTCGCCTCGGTTTTCACGGTAGATTGCGTGCGGGCTGGAATCGAGTGGAGCTGTTTTTCGACTTCGACCGCCGACTTTTTTTTCTCTCGACAATCCACTCCGGCAGTTTGCTGACCGCCCCGGAATATCCATTTTGGGCAATATCTGCCGTTATCAGTTATCGCAGTCGCGTCCGATAAGAACGACCTTTCCAAAGGTACTGCGATGATAGCTATACCTTCACAACATTACCTCACAACTCAGCTGCTCTCCATGGAGTGGGCTTCATAAAGATGGACTCACAGGTGAGTCGCAATCCCCTCAGCAAAATACAGCCAGCAAGATGACTAATATATCACCCAAGGACAAGAAGTCCGTCCCCAAATTCTCCAGCTTCAAGGCTCCCTCTCCCCCAACTCGTTCAGAGCCTCGACACAAAGAAGATCGAAGGTCTCGACGCCCTAGTTCTCGATACAGTGAAGAAAGGTCCCGCTCACCACGAAGGTCCAACCGGCAAGAACGACGGAGATCTCCTGGTAGGCGTCCCCGTTCACGATCTCCCCGCCGTGCTACTTCCCGGGGCCGTCGCAAGTCTCCAGAGCGCCGGGAAAAGGACAATGGAGTCGCCAAGGATGCGAAGGATGGTCCGGTGTTGCCAGATAGAGATGGTTCAATTGCCGACCTCTTTATCATCGATCTGAAAGGTGATCGACACAACTTAACCTTCGGCGCAACACATCGCTATGCCGTGCCAAAATACCGACGGAGTGGCCGTGGACAGGTTCTGGGAGCCGATACGAGATACCGAATCGACCGTGATCATTTGGACAGTGATACATTGGTTTTGCGCATCAAAGATTCGCTGCCTTCCAATACATCGAAATCGGCTAGACCGATGTCAAAACGAATCCGTCAACCAGAGAAGCTCCTCCGCGTGAAAACCGAGGCCGAAATACAATCCTCTGCCGATTTAGATCAAGACTTCATATCATTCGATTCAGAAATCCTAGATGGGTCAGACGGGGCATCGGATGACGGTGACTTGGGCAACGAGCGCAACGCTTATCGCTCGATCCATGGCAAAGCCAAAGAGGAGGATTTTATTCCACAACACATGGAATTGGTTGACGATGAAATCGTTCAAGACGACAGTAACTCAGCTGAACGCAAGGCCCGTCATGCAGAACTATCGCGCTCCGTGAAGGATAATCCTACAGATGTTGCTGGATGGCTGAGGCTAATTGATCATCAAGATCTTTTGATTCTCAGCCCAAATGAGGACTCGCGCCCATTAACCTATAATGAGCAGCAAAGTGTGGCAGCCGTCAAGTTGTCTATTTATGAGAAGGCAATTAAGCAGTCTGCAACTAGCCCAAATAAGGACAGCCTTTTGCTAGGAAGACTCCAAGAAGGTGCACATCTATGGGATGCGAAAAAGCTACTTTCTCAATGGAACAAGACTTTGCAAGAAAACTCTGAGTGCGTCAGTCTGTGGGTCAATTATCTTAATTTCCGGCAGACGGACTTCCAAAACTTCGATTTTGAGCAGCTCATGGCGACATTCTCCGAGTGTCTGGAGCTTAACGCATCCGCTGCGAATCCGGCCAAGAACCAAGTACAATGCTACTTATTCCTCCGTATGACACTTTTTCTGCGTGAAGCGGGATATTTGGAACTAGCTGTTGGTATCTGGCAGGCAGTACTCGAGTTCACATGCTTCAAACCACAACCACAGTCTCAACAGGTAGCGGATGTTGATACTCTCGCTTCTTTTCGCAGCTACTGGGAGGATGAAGTGCCACGTGTTGGCGAGAACGGATCATTAACATGGCGAGGCTGGGTTGACAATCCATCAAATCTTGCCCACAACTATGCTCTTCACGAATACAAACATCATATTGAAGTTTCATCTCTCATGGACTCCTGGGAAAAAGCCGAGAAAGAACGGACCCTATCATCACGGCTGCCATCTCGAACTCTCGACCAGCTGAAATCCAGTCATGGCGTCGATGAGCAGGAGCAATATGTTGACGATGCTTACACAGTCGTACTCTTCTCTGATCTCGACCGAGTCCTGAAATTATTTCACGACTTTGGTTTTCCAGATGAACTGTTCGAGAGTTTCTTATACTTTTGTCACTTGCCGCATTTGACACGACCTGGCAATGTACAGACAACTCATTTGTGGAGTGCGGACAACTTTCTCAAAAACGACTCAATAGACCACATGGAGCCAGGTCTCTCTTGTTGGTTAGCGGATCCAAAGGATGCTGGGACTTCGACCTCGCCTCTTCGCTTCCCGGTCTCAAATTTCCTGCAGACCACATGCACTTTGTTCCCGGCGCCTAATACCTGGTTCGACTCATTTGGATTATTGCATCAAGACTACCAGTCCTCCAAATCTTCAATTATTGATCAGGACTGGGTCCAGGTGACGCTACGGTCCTTGGTGGAACGTGGCCCTACTCGTGAAGCATTCGATGAAGAATTGGCCGAGTATACTCTCGGGCTTATGTTTGCGCGGGATCAAAAAATAGCAAAGAAATATGCTAAAACCTTACTCAAGAAGTGGACGTCCAGTCTCAGAATATGTAATGCTCTTGCTTTGATGGAATGGAGAAATTCTTCACCCGACGCCGCTGTTCAAGTTTGGTCAAGTTCTATTTCATGGAGCCAAAAGTTCTCAGATGATCTGAAGATTGAATCAGGAATCCTTTGGAACTCTTGGGCTTGGGAGCTTCTTCAGCAGGGTGATAACTCCCGAGCTTCGTATGTATTGCATGCTATTCCTGTGCAGAGCATAGATAAGGATGCATACAATAATATTCAATCGACAGATGTGGCCTCCAACCCCACCTCAACTCTTCAAGTTAAATCGGTAAGCCATGAAACTTCTCCATGACTTATGCATATTCTAATTCTATGCAGTACCTGCGCGACTGCCAGGCGCGCGCTCTGGGGTATAGGCGGTTTCCTGCGTTTGTCGCTTATACCGATTGCCTCGCTTTATTGCTCTTCACCGAGAAATATCATATCCAAGCCGCGCTTGAAGTCTACTCCTATGCGCTTGAAAAGTCAAATAGCCTCCCAGTCGAGGACCAGAAATCGAAGCCCTATATCATCGAGCTTCTGCATCAGGCTAGAGCCAGGCTGCTCTATTTCCATTGCAGTACGAGGTCGTCGCGGTTGAAGGCACTTGAAATTCGAGAAATGCTCCAAGACAGCGTATCTTTGTTCCCTCACAACACGATATTCCTATCGCTTTTCACCTGGAATGAGTCTCGCTTCAATATCCTCGATCGTATTCGAAATGTCAACCTGCTCACCAAAAATTCTGAAAGTCGGTATACGCTCGATAACGATTACGCCTTGTCGGCCGCGGCCGCGCAAACCGTTCCCATAACCACTCATTTGCTCTCGATTTGGTCTGAATTATGTCGTCCAACCTGGGCTGGATCCACTCATCATTCCACGCGAGCTGCATTTGAAAAGGCACTTGGCGAGAATATGAATCGAGACTCGATGAAACCTTACGATAAACAGATGCGCAATAACATCGGTACAGGAGGTGCACGAACAAATCTCATGACCTGGAAACTCTATATCATCTTTGAGGTCTACCATGCACGGGATATCGACGCTGCAAAAGCTGTGTTCTATCGCGCTATTCGAGCTTGCCCTTGGTCGAAGCAGCTATTCATGCTTGCCTTCCAGTACCTACAGGATGATAAAATTCGTCACATCATTCCGGTAAATTCAAACGCCACCGGCTTCCTTTTTGATGATCTTCGTCAACTGTACTATGCAATGATTGAGAAGCAATTACGTATTCATGTGGACATCGAGGACGGAATTCAAGCGCTCCTTGCAGAGAGGCAAGACAGCTTCGAGGAAGATCATCAGACTCGATCTGGTGAAAATAATTAAAATAAAGCCTCAACAGCTCTTTCAGAGCTACTGTTGCAGGGGTAAACCCCATGAAGACCGAAAGGGAAACACACCTCTTGTAATTACTTCAGGCGTCACGGTTGCAAGACCTTTGAATGCTGTATCTACAACTATTATGCAAATAAGCAACAAATGGAAATCATGCCTGTCAAACAATATGCTCGGTATTCAAAACTACTGTCGTCGATAACTATAGTACAGGACGTCGCACCGTCCAATGTAAACTCCGTGCGAGCAGAGGTAACGAGGAAAAATCCAAGGAAAACAAAAGTGAGAATCGTCACTCGTAAATTCGTGGTGGGCTACGATTGGCTTTCCATGCGCTTGGAATGGAAGACTCATCGTACCGCATAAAAGGCACCGCATTATCGGGGAGAAACAAGCATAATAGAATCAAAAGTGTTCCTTCCAAAACTTGAACCTAACATCCTTCGTCGACGAAGCTTTGGCCGCATCGTTGATCTGTCTGGCTGCCATGTTCGGACCACAGAAGTACACACCGACCTCAGTGGTCGATCCACTCTGTAGACCTCGCATATAGGTCTGATCAAGGAGACCAAGACGCATGGCCGTGAACAAGCGTTTGAAGTCCGGACGGCCAAAGTTTGTGCGACTTCGCAGTTCAGTCAACGGGTCCAATGCCTGACCAACAGAATTTAGGTAAATATTTGCAGCGGTATCATCGTCCAGGCGCTGTGTGAGGTAGGTATGAATACGCAAGAACTCAGTGCTTCCTTCGTGGGCAGCAGTTGTGGCCGACTGAGCTTCGAGAGAAGAAAGAAGGGCTTGGAACCATTCGAAGGAAGAAGTGTCTTTACAAATCCAAATGAACTCAACACGACGCAATCGGCGCGGGGGGTTCGGACTGGAGCGCAGGTGCCAAATATTCTTTAGAATCGAGGCCCAGGGGGTGACGCCAATTCCTGTTCCAATGAGAACAGCAATTTCGTTTTCAAAAACATCCTCAGCCGGTGCACCATATGGGCCATCGATACGAAGCTTAGGCATCATCTGTCCATTTTGCAGGGCAACTTCATACATTCCCATCGGGTCGAGACCTTCGAGATCTCGGGCCTGGGCGGGACCACATCCAAGCGCGTCTCCGAGAGCTCGGGTGAAATCTCCCACTTGACGGACATGAACACTGAGGTATTCATCAAAGGGACAGGATGTGATGGTAAAAGGGTGCCATTGTGTGCTGGACACGTCGGGTACTTGAAGGAAAAGCCATTGCCCAGCCTTGTACTTCATACTTGGCTTGTAGAATTGAATTTCCATGGCAGCTGTAATGATAATTAGTAGATATACTGGATATAATGGGTTCTATGGCACATACCGTATGGATGACGGATAACCTTGGTGATCACCGTCTCTCGCCGAGAGCGAATCTCGCGATAGAGTCGCTCACAGAGGTAGAAAGCTGCACCCACAAGTTCCCATCTCCAGCCTTCGTATCCTAGACAATGATCCCAGAATTGCTTACCAGCAAATGGGGAGAAAGGTTCCGCGGTGTCACGCACGAAGCATCCCGTAGTATGGGTATAGAGAGCCAGTAGGAAAGGGATGAAAAGATGATGCGTGTACCAAAAGGTTTCGTAGGCTTGCTGGCGGATACGATGATGCGCGGTGGTATACATCAACAACATGCAAAGCAACATGACATGTCCTGTGATACCTGCTGCTTGAGTATAATGAATTTGAACAGCTAGTTCGGGGCGAACCTGGTTCTTCTCGATATTGTAAAAGCTAATATCTATTAGTCGGAGTTCGGTACAAGTATTGAGTCCTCAACATACTTAACGTAATGAGCAGCAGTGTGGATCCCAGAGAATACTAGCAAAGAATAAGCAACTTGGCGATGAAACCAAGCTGACTCGTCTAGCGGGAGCCACCTGATCTGAGGTCTGAGCCATCGCAAAACATTGCGGCACATGGGCAAAAGGATCACTGTTGCATCGGCTGAGAGAACAAGCCCAGCACCTCTAGATATCCAGACAGAGTACTTGAGGACATTAAGACCTTCTAACTTTTTGCTTGAAGCTTGCAAATACCTAGTTTTCACATTAGCCAAGCACCTATTGGTTTGGTGTGGGCTCGAAGACTCACCATCCCAGAGCAAAAATGCCGAAATGGAGCCCCCAGAATCCAATATAGAAAAGAATTTTTGAAGGTGTCAAGTCGGCTTTTCTGAGCCAAGAATCATTAGATGCGACCATTTTGTCGTCTTGGGTGGTTGGGGGCGTCGGCCAGCGACGACTTGGAGTGCAAAGGAGAGACAAGTGTGGCGGTTGACCAGCAACCTGAGTCTGTCGACGAAACTCTAAGTCGAAATTATCAAAAAGAGAAACGCTTTTTGATTTTCGTTTTGGGTAGGCTCAAGGGCCAAATTAGTTGAAGCGTAAGTAGATCGGTCGTCGGCGTCGTCGCTTCTCCATGAACCTGACGCGGATCGTAGCCTTCCCCGCCGACCGGGGTACTTCTTGTTGATGTTGAGAATCAAGAGCTTGCTTCACGATTATGATAACTTCAGTTTCAGGTTGGTATTGATGCAACAGGTCCTCGCGATTCGTTTGAAGCTGTCGCACGCTGGTCGCAGAAGTCGTTGCTCTACCACAGTGTGAAATGAGGTATGTACCCAAGGACAACGTAATGTGTTTAGTTACTCGGTGTAGTGTTGGAGGTACCTGAGTACTGTACGATCATGGTTGGAATAGATGGGCAGACTGGGCAAAGGTAAGGCCGAAGGTGGATGGAGGTTGAGGAATCCCAGCGTTGTGGTTTTACCTGCAGGGTGAGGGGGGGGGGCGATCTATAATTACATCGCTTCTGGCGGGCACAGCAACCGAAAAGCCAGTGGCTTCCTAGACCAATCGATTCACTAAACTCTATGTCCGTGCTCTGTAAAATCCCTTCGCTCGCAATGGTTGCTCCACGATGTGATAGGTGTGGCCTCGTGGTCCCAGAACCCTTTCAATGCCCAAAATAGGAGGCTGGTGCTCGCTATCTGACTTGCTTTATGGTTTAAGCTCGTCAAATCTTACCATTCTTCTCCGTTGCCATATCTACCACTATTCTTGGCCCTTTTTGAAAGACTGCTTGCTGTACGAAGGAACCGTAATCAACCATCTTGGCGCCAGGATCGAACAAGAATATTGACTTGCATTGAACGTGGCAGCCCACAGTGATCTCATAAGTTAGTGACGGAATTACAGCTGTGGGTCAGTGGGGGTTGACTAGTATTTCTATCTTGATCTACGTTTTCATTACGGGGTACTAGTAGGGAGAAATTGAATTACTGTACATCTAAAAATGCAAATTGTCTGCTACTCCTCTCCAGGAGTGAACCAAACCCATGTTCGCTTTGGGCAGCTCCATGGCGGGGCAACGCTTCGACAGCAACAACCAGTCCCCGAGGCCACCAAAGAAAGGCTCCGAATAGAAAGGACGGAGGAAAGCCATGCAAAAGAATAATGGCAAGGCTGGTGAATGGTCAACGCCAAATGAAGCTAATGCGAAGCGTTACTTTAGTGTGAGCCTATAGAAGATATTCTGCAGCCGCCGGCCATCGTCACACGGGAACTCCGGGGCAATACGAGTCGGTGAGGTTAAGGCACCGCTTGAGTGAAGTTCCTCCGTTCTGAATCCAATTTTAGCCTCTCTAAGGGTTGATAGTGGCGTGGCTCTACTACTATCTCGACTCCCCCAAATGCTTTCCACTTCGTACTGGCAATCCTGGTTCCACTTGGCATCGCACATCACCTTCTCCATCACAATTCCATTTCCATTTGAGCATGACACGCCACCAGTGGTACAGAGAAGCGGGTGTGAAACAAAAACCTGGACCACATCGAGCCAGGGCTAGGTTGGTCATCTGACCCGTCGCATTGTAAATCAACGTCATGTCTCTGCGACAACCTGGAAACGCATACGAGAAGGCAGGGCGATGTATGTATAGCTGCCGGAAATTCACCAAAAAAGTCCTTCTTGACAATACTAATGTGCGTGAAACCCCAACCCCCTCCCTTGTAAGCGCGTGCTTCGGCCTGCAGCTCATCACGCCAAGTCACAACTATGCGGCTTCTGATTTGTGCACGGGCGTATCGCGATCCGCTCCGTCACATCGCCCATCCCCCAATCACACCGCACATCAACCCTGATGAAGAAAATCCAGGTGAGGGGATGTCAAAGATCAGACCCTGTCCAAGGCACTGATTGGCCCCCGGCGCGTAGATGCATCTGTGCGGATCACAGCGAGCCCTACTATTCTCGAGATGCCGCCCATCGAGAGTCGCCAACGTACATCGGTCACATTTTTGGCGCATTGCAGTATTCTTGTAGCTTGGCTTGATTCGCACTGGCTCGCCTGCACTTGGCCAGGCGGGTCTAAGTATAGAATGTATTCATTCCCCTCCTGCTGGTACTGCAGCATCCCACTCCAGTACTCTGCCTCTACCATGCCATCATGACAACGTCCTAATAACAGCACTCACAACATTACTCGATGCCTTTCTAAAACCCACTCAGTGAATCTTATGGGCCATTGGTATTTGCACAAATATCAAAACGGCTTTACATTAGGCGTCGCATCGGTTCGGTCTGAGCGCATGCCGCTTTGAGTCCTCCCTCGCCTACTATTATAATCTTTCGCTGGACGAAAGATTCAACTACAACTATCGATATACTACAAAATAGCGCACCATCATGGGAAGGCTCATCAAGAACCACTGGGGGCGATTAATTATCCTCGCAGCCTCAGCCTGTAAGTCTCTATGGGATTTCTCTCCAAGCTTTAGTGTTATGCGGAGGGACTAACATATTGTTTCCAATAGACCAAATTGCCAGCGCAATCGAAGGCTTCATTTGGCCAAAGGTGTTTTGGGATTTCATATCCAAGAACCTCGATGCTGCCGTCGCGCCGGTCCCTGTCCTCCAAATCCTCAATCTCATAATGGGCATCGTTGGGTTAGCTTGGGAATGGCCATTAAAACCTCTTGCTGGAACATTTCCGCATCGCAGCATCGAAATCCGACTGGTTATTTACCCGCTCAGCGCTCTCTTCGCAGCCCTACTCTACCAAGGCACCGATCCGGCTTTATACTATTTAGTGGGAATTGGGGTATATTTTTGGGCATATAGCGAAGGCGAGGTATGTTGATTCGAATGTTTAAACTTCCCTGTCGCAAACTTGAATGCTAACATCATGTTCAGGTTGTGTGTGCAGAGCCATGGACATTACCAAAGCGCTCAGGCTTGCTCAAAGCATAGCATCCCTACTCGGTCTGGAATAATGATCACAATAATGATCACGCCAGACGCAGATCATGTACATACTAGTAATAATGAACGACAATGAACATACAATATTAATAACGTTTCCGCTCCGCTTTGAATACATCGACCATTTGATCTTTCGATGTCGAGAACCGCCTACCCCGGGAGTAAGATTTGTTGACGGCATTTCGTTTGCGAATCTTAGATCCAGTCTTATATGGAAATACACTTTCCGTAGGCCTTTTCAATATAATTGCCACCAAGTAAATATCTACAATCGCTGTCCTGGTTTTATTGCTTTACCTCGCATTTATTCGGCGAAAGGCTGAAGGACACCTGATATTTATGGCTTCTATACGTGCACGTGATGTCATCCCAGAGTGTGCATCGCCACAAATCGATGGACACAACTTGAATGTTGATTCCAACCCCCGAACATAAGACTAATCGCGAGAACTGATTACAGAGCACAGCCTCGTGTATATTAATTGAAATGTCTCCATCTCCCCCCGACCCTTCGCAAGAAGGCTGCTCAGAGTTGCAACATGACATCGATCCAGAGACGGAAGATGTCCCAGTCAACAAAACCACTACCTTCAATGGCAAGCTGAATCAATATATGCACTCGAACAATAAGGTCACTGAATCCGCCATCAAATCGGCCAGCCTCAAGCGGCAAAGAACTGACCCAAGCATCTCGGAAGCCCTCTCAAATGCCACCAGCATTACCCACCCGCCATCAACAACTCGCACAACTCGCTCTCGTTCCTCCTCTACCACCTCTACTGTAATAAAGACATCCCCAGCGAAGAAACATCGCCGTCGCAATAACTCCCCGCCATCAACCGCCTCAACAGCCGCCGACTCCCTCCTCCGCGACACCATCCCCGCAAACCTAACACTCCTCCTCGTAGGCGTGAACCCAGGAACCTTAACCGGTACAACCGGCTACTCCTATGCACACCCATCCAATCTATTCTGGAAACTCCTCCACGCCTCAGGAATAACACCAATCCGCCACCTGCCCTCCGACACATATAAACTTCCCAGCCTCTACAACATCGGCAACACGAACATCGTGGCAAGACCAACTCGCGACGCGAGCATGTTGACAAGAGCCGAAATGGACGCCGGCGTGCCTATTCTCGAAGCTAAGATCGCAGCCCAGCGGCCCGAGGCAGTTTGTCTGGTTGGCAAGAGTATATGGGAAGCTATTTGGCGAGTCAAGCATGGGCGCGCGATTCGTAAAGCGGAGTTTCGGTATGGATGGCAAGATGATGCGGAGAATATGGGGCGGGCTACTGGCTGTTCTGACTGGGATGGAGCGCCTGTTTTTGTTGCGACGACTACCAGTGCCTTGGCTGCTGGGATGAGTTTCGCGCAGAAGGAGGCTGTTTGGGCTGAGTTGGGGAATTGGGTTGTTCAGCGGAGGGCTCAAACGAGCTCGATTGCTGGTGGTCTTGGTACAGATTTGGATGGGCATTTACATGCTGATGTAAAAGATGGTGTCTAGTTACTTGGTTCTTATAATAATGCATTATGATTGTGATGTCCGAGTCTCCTGTCTAGATAATGCAATGAATAGCCCGGGGCCCTCGGCTTCACCTCCATCTTGACACAGCACGTCAAGCTTTGGCCTTCCGACTTGAGGTTTGGTAGTAGCATATACCCCTCCCCCAAGGTTGAACTCATCCGGATGGCCCGGTAGGAAGACATGCCCAATGGACTCAATGAATCTTGGCAGGTGGAGGGGTAGGATACATGCAGACTCCGCATGCTAGGCAGCTATCTTGCAGAACATTTCAGACAACAGCAAGTCGGTAGCAATCCGGTAGCAATTCTACAGCAATTCACAAGCAATTCTACAGGAAGACGAGTTGTTTGAACTTTATTGGTATTTGGAATACATATGTGACGAGTTCCATAGCTCGCCTTTCGTTATGTCATGATATTTCAGGTATCGTAGCCTGTCACTGCTAGGATGCACATCAACCCATATTCCCGATTTAACCATTACATCCCACATCACTCTGAAGGCCGAGCTTTCAATCGACGACGAATCTCCCGCATTGTACTGCAAGAAAGGTGGCAGTCGGTGCTGATGGATGTATGAACAGTCCACAGCCCCGACAGCACGGTGATGGAATCAAAGAAATATGGCGATTATCAAAGGAGAAAGGGTATGTGCTGTTCCATTATGCTTGGATTGTAGTCTTAATTTACCGGGAGTCGTTCTTGCCTCCCTCGCGCTCGCGGGCCTGGTGTGGCATGATTAGTACGAGGACGGGTTAAATTAACTCTCGATTTGGGCTTGGCTTACTGTAACAGCCTGATGCTCGCCACTTTCCAGGATCTTGGCTATGCAGTCCTCCTCTCTGTGGGAGCCAAACTCGTCCTCCAGGGTGGACTTGGAGGCACCGTCCATGATACCCTGGGCACCGTGACTATCGAGGGTTAGGTTAGCATCTTCTAGGCTTGTAAAGGGATATGGGGTATAGGATATAGGTATAAGAAGACATACCGGTGTGTGACGAAGATCTTCCAGCCATTCACGACCTCAGCGAGCGGGATGCTGCGGTCATTTCTCCACTTCTTCAGGATCTCGAGATCATCGACGAAGACAATGAAGTCCTCGGACTTGCCCTTGTAGAAGACCTTGGAGGCGGTATCGTTTCCACGAGCCATATTGAGACTTGAATTGGAATTGGAATTGGAATGAAGTATTGAAGTATTGAGTTGAGTTATGTGAAAGAGGAGGTTGAGTGATTGAGTGAAGTGAGTGAAGTGGCAGCGGGGAAAGCTTTAAAAGGGCGGGATGATGGAGAGTGACGTCAGTGCTGGAGCTGGTCATCAGCGAGCTTTCCCTTCTCAGCGGCTCCTTGCTTTTCTACAACGTCATCTACTTTTAGTACTGTACAATCTTACACATACCCCCCAGTGGAGACACTTTGAATTCAATTGATTGTCTCTATTCCACATTACGTGGTGCCAAGCTAATAACAATGCCTCCTGGCTTCCACTTCCTCTTTCCCCCACCCCTGCTCGAAACTACCAGAATACTCGTACCAGACACCACTCACCCACCAATGACCTAAGTACCTCCACCTTCATCTACTCCCCTGTCCCAGGCGGGCCCATCGTGGGTCGCGGTCGTACCAATCCCTTCGGTGAGAGAGCACCAAACAGGCTCAAAGGTGACGTCCATTTCTTCCGCGTTGGTGACAACTCAGCACTACCCTGACTCGAACGCTTCTCGCTGCGTGGTGATGTGGCCACCGACCCCATATTCTTCTTTGAACCTCGAATCCGGAGGGTCTTGGAGCGACCACTCATTGACGTGGGTGTTCGGGGGCTCTTGGGTGACGCGTGCTCCGTCTCCGGCGAACATGGAGGGTCGTCACATCCATCTTGACCTCCCATCAGTTCCTTTTCCTCGCACTTATACTCCGCGACGGAATTCCCATCTATCACAAGCGGCCCGGTGTGAGATGCACTTCCAGAAGTAGACCTTCGATTAAAGCCTCCGTGGAAACTGAGGCGCCGCATGAGCGATCCTCGACGAAACAAGTCTCCTCGGCCCAGCGCCATACCTGGAAAGGGTAGCACATCACGAGTGTACACATTCGCGATCGTCTTCTCCAACCGGATTCTGTCAATCCGTCGAGCAGCTATAGTCAATATGCCGCGTATTGGCGTCTTCGGCCTTTCGATCTCACTCCCTGGTGGATTGGTGGATTCATCGTGATTGTGGGGGTAGTGTGTCTTCTTAATAACGACCTGTTGGATGTTGAACTTGCGCGATATCGACATAGAGTCCATCGACGATCTCCGGGCGAGAGAAGACACCGAAAACTGAACTCGATCCAGGGGAACCAGAACAAAGTTGAGGAAGGAATACCTGCGCGGATCCCATGCTCCGCTCGGTCTGGCCATCTCGCTCAGTGACGCAGAAGATCTCAGAATCTCGGTCTTCCAATGTTTCTCCTCCGCAGCAGATGATGCACTCAGGACGAACTCGTAGCTCTCTTCTTGTTCTTGGAAAATCAACTTCCATGAGAAGGGACACCCGTAGCAGAACAGACCTGAGAATGTTAGATTGCTATCCCAATGAGAGCTAGCGGAGGCGATCATACCTCGACCGTTCTGGATGTAATCCATTTTCAGGTCTTCCAGGTAGATGCAGGCAACTATTTCCAAGCGCCTGGAATCATCGGGTCCTTTTGCCAGGAGAAAATAGCATTTGAACAGTATGCAGACCATGAAATCGCCAATTGTCTGCTCCGGCGTCTGATAGGTGACATGCAGAACACCACATAAAGTCATTGGGCCAAGCTCTTTATATACATCTTGAAGGAACTGCTATTCATTTCACTATGTCAGCTCGTAAACCCACTGGGCTTCGGAGGCACATACCGTGTCGGAAAAGTCAATCTTCCCTTGCAGCAGTATAGTTTTATGAATGCGATCTTTGTTGATCGGGTTGCCGGTTGCCGAGTTAATTCGTGTTACCATTATACGAAGGCTTTCCAAAACTTGACGTATCTCATCGTGAGAGGTTGGGCAGTCACCAACAGGGGTACTTCGAAGGAGGTCTTGAAGGAGAAGAGGGTATTTGCAAAGGCGTTGGATCGGCTAACAAATCTGTTAGTGTTTCTAATTATCTCTCTTCAGGTTGAAGAAGTTACATACCTTGATCATCAAGTCATTCATCAACATAGAGCGGTTGTAGTCATTCTTGCGGCTCTCGGTCGAGACAACGGACTTTGACAAGGCTTCAATTCCCTGCTCAAAGACTATCCAGTTGGGGACTGAGCGGCGTAGGAGGGCCACGTCCTGCGTGAGAAGTTCATAGTTACTGCAAAATTCCTCGTAGACGGAAAAGGACACCGACTGCAGTATAATTGTAAACTTAGGACTCTTTCTGGAGTGTGACATTGTGTGTAGTGACTTACCAGCTTGTCAATCTCGCGTACTACTTCAAGGCATTCCATCGGTTCTGCAACAAGAGCTTTGAGATGCTGATCAAATGCCGCTTTGAACTTCCGAGTCCTGAGCGATCTGTTTTGAAGACCTCTAAGTCCAGGCACGCTCAGTCGCTTGGAAATACTACTCCGAGGAAGGAAATCCAGGGGGCCTTCTGGGATCGGGCCAGCCGACATGGGTGAGATCGTTTGAAGTTGAGCCAAGAAGTTTTCATGGATCTCGCGGATCTTCTGGATATTATGATATATCTGAGGTCTGATGTTGAGCATTGGGAGTACCTTTGAACTTCATTAGCTTCTTGTATCCATAGTTGAATCATGGGAGGGCAGAATATACCCCGGTGAGGGCAGTCAGGCCCTGAACATAGTCAGATTCCGTTGAAAGAACCTCTCGTAGAAGTTGGCGTCTTTTTGTCGCGCGTTGCTCTGCGGCTTCATCCACATATGTACTTGGTGTTGGTCGAGAGCTGTCTGCTGAAGCTCTAACGGGCGATGTGCCACTCTGGCTAGTCGTACTCTGGGTATTGGCTCGAGATCTCGCCACACTCGGACTCGCGATGCTCAAAGTTGTAGTTTTGACAGTCCCCTAGGTGCGAGGAATGATTCGACGATCTTTCCCAATGCTGCTCCAGCGACAGGGCAGGAAACGGGAACTGGTTCTGCGTGGATATATCCGATGGGGGTGAGTCCGGCCAGCCTGCCACGAATCTTTCCGGGATCGTTGGGGGTATCCGTTTGCGCGTGCGAAAGCTGTCCATCCATTTTCTGAACGGTAGGTTTGGGGCCGGCTTTGGTGAGGAGTCCTGCTCGTTGCCGATCGCCTCTGGTGTTTCCTCCGTGGCCAGAAATGGTCTCTTGCTCTCGGAGGCATCATCGGGATCATCTACATCGCCGCGAATCATCGTGCCTTCAGGGGTCCACCCCGTGATTGCAGTCTGAAGACTCGACTCGAAGTGTCATGAGGAGAGATGATAAGATGAGCGAGGATGAACCCGACCAAAACAAATCGGTGGACCCGAAGTCGATCTCATGGTTTGGCAGTCGCGACGGAGAACAGCAACAAGACAAAGTCGCATTGGACGGTGGACTCCTTGGGACTCGGAGGACTTGTATAATGTATTTCTTGAGTCAATGAAAGGAACTCATGGCGGAAGCTGGACTGTGAACGGGCCTGAATGCATTGCGGTTTCAGGCAGCTGAGAGAATTCCGCAGGAGATCCGGCCATTTGAATCTTATCCATGTACGTCATGGCGTGAGGCAGTTCAACAGGTGAGATCCAAATCGGGTTGCTAGGCTCATGGCAGGGATGTACCTTTGTGTGTAGGGTTGGGAGAGAATTTAGTGGAACTTGAGCCCTGGTTGAAAGTTGAACCTCCGTGACAAATCTTTGCGGAGTGAAGTTCTTCTATGCTCCCGGGTGCTGGTGAAAACCAGCCCTGGAGTCACGCGATTGTATTTGATGGTAAAGGGGTAACAGACAACTAGTACTACTAAGTACGCACGACATTGAGAATACCGTCTTTCAAGGATGCACTTGACTGTGTATTATAGTTGAATGGACTCTGATATATACTCCTAGTAAATGGTAGTACTACTGGCAGGAGTATATATCAGGTACTAGTAGTACTATTACTACCAATTCCCTTGGGGCTAAACTTCTAATTAGTAACCATCTGCTAGTAGTAATTAATACTAGTATTAGTACAATATATCTTCATAAATAAGCTTACCTCCCCTGTACTAGTATTCATCAATGGGCGTCTCTGCAATGGTCAGCGCGCCAGGCGGCAGCGCTTATATAAATTGAAGCGAGACCCACCGCCCTTGACGCCGCGATGCTTTGATCTTCCCCACCTTCTACTTCTACTTCGACTATGGGCATCCCCATGGACGATAACATCCACACTCCTACCGTCGCCTCCGGACCAACGTCCGGGGGCGCCCCCTACGACGCATCCAAGCTGTCTATGCCCGAACTGATGCAGGAGAAGGAACGGATCGAGGAGGAGCTGACTGCACTGAGCAGCGTCCTCAAGACGGTGAGAGCTACGAACCCCGCCTTCCGACAAGATTGACCGACTGACTCGTCTGGAAATGAAGCATAATGTTAGCATGACATCAACCCTTACAACTTTCGACGGATACCCGCGCGACGACATTGACATCGCCCAAGGTGCGCAAAAGACCCGGTGCTGCTGGTGATCAGCTACGAGGTGCTAAAACGAGAACCCAGTCCGAACGACCCGCGTCCGAATGATCCGCCTACAAAACGACCACAAGGAAGTAATGAAGTATCTGGAGAAGGGTCTTCACGCGCATTTTGCACAGTTACAAAATGCGCAAGGTGTTGCGACCACGAATGGATCTAGTGTGCCGTCCGGTGTGCCCGCGCCAGTTGCAGCCACCACGCCGACCAGCATTGCAGATGCGGGCACGCTAGGGACGCCCTTTGCCAAGGTCAATAGCGTGGAACCGAACAGCCCAGCGGCTCAGGCAGGTCTCAAGGCCGGAGACACCATTCGGAGCTTTGGTGATGCGAATTGGCTGAACCACGAGCGACTGACCAAGGTTGCGGAGGCCGTCCAGCAAAACGAAGGGGTATGTGTTGATCTTGGACGAACTCCCACTCCCGGGAGACTCTGGACCGTTTTACATACGCCCTCTGCTAACCGCTTTTCTCTTCTAGCGCGCCGTGTCGGTCAAGGTAGTACGGAAGAACGAGAGTGGATCAGGGACAAGTTCATTAGATTTGCAACTTACCCCCCGACGCAATTGGGGAGGTCGAGGACTGTTGGGGTGCCATCTTGTTCCTCTGTAGACTTGACTCCTTGCTGTTGCCGTGGCTACAGGCGGCGCCGTCTGACATGTACAGCCGTTCAGCCCTGTTTTATTTTTATTTTTATATTTTTTCAGAGTGAATAATGAATTATGGATTTATCTGATTATAGTGCTGGACGTATTTTCATTAGTCTGTCTACTCCCTTGTTGTAAAAGTGAAGATAATATAAATATGGAAATGCAAATATGAGTAGCCCTACTGAAAGTGAACACCAACTACGTCAGGCCACACTTGGACCGCCGTGGATGACTAAGCTGGCAAAAATTGCAGTCCTGAACACCCGCGCTCTCGCATTATTATTCCCCTTCCTCTTTCTCCTCCCCCCACCAACGTTTCTCATCTTCGTTCCGCCTATTTCCCCCAGAATTCCGTCTTTGACATCACATTCGCCATGGGTGACCAATCTACTCCTCCTACCTTCAAGCTCGTCCTCGTCGGTGACGGTGGTACTGGTAAGGTAAGATCAATTCAAAACAGAGCCTCCCCAGGCTTCACTTCCTCGCGAGGGGCCATGTCGACCTCCTTGCGATCATCATCAAAAGTCATCAGTCTTGGATGTTATCTTGGATCGTCTCATGCGCTTCTTCCGAAACAATCATCCCCCCTCCCCTCTCCTCCCCTCCCATGCCCCGCCATCTTGTCAACAAAGATGGAAAATATCTGCCCAACGCTCGCCTCACCCGCGCAACGCCATCGCTAACGTAACCAACCCCATAGACCACTTTCGTCAAGCGCCACCTGACTGGTGAATTCGAGAAGAAGTACATTGCCACTCTCGGTGTCGAAGTTCACCCCCTCACCTTCACTACCGTATGCTATGCCCCGCCGAAGACCCCGCTCCGATGACGGTCGACTAACTTAGCGATGCGATAGAACCTGGGAACCATCCAGTTCGATGTCTGGGATACCGCCGGTCAGGAGAAGTTCGGTGGTCTCCGTGATGGCTACTACATCAACGGCCAGGCCGGTATCATCATGTTCGACGTTACCTCCCGTATCACCTACAAGAACGTCCCTAACTGGCACCGTGAGTAATGCGATCACTCGCCGACTAATTTGGTCTTTGTCTTTGTTTTGTTGGATCATTTGAAACTAACACCTATCCAGGTGACCTCGTCCGTGTCTGCGAGAACATCCCCATTGTTCTCTGCGGTAACAAGGTTGACGTGAAGGAGCGCAAGGTCAAGGCCAAGACCATCACCTTCCACCGCAAGAAGAACCTCCAGTACTACGATATCTCCGCCAAGTCCAACTACAACTTCGAGAAGCCCTTCCTGTGGCTCGCTCGCAAGCTGGTCGGCAACCCCCAACTGGTAAGTTCCCCGAACTAATCCCCGATCGCACACCGCCAGATCAATACTGACCACCCCCCTACAGGAGTTCGTTGCTGCTCCCGCTCTCGCTCCTCCCGAGGTCACCGTCGACCACGAGCAGCTCGCTGCTTACAAGAAGGAGATGGACGACGCTGCCAACATGCCCCTCCCCGATGAGGACGATGCCGACCTGTAAAGCGGCCCCTATACCTCCTCAATGCCGGCGTTTTCTCATCCCCGGAAATTCCGGTCACTCCCGGCTACGCTCCGCACCACAGTTCTAAAACGACCATCAGACGAGCATTAGCCCTCCACCCGACCGGATGATCTTCTTTTTTTTATTTGGTTTTTACGTCCCCCGTGGCAAAATCCCGTTCTCAGAATCACGATACAATGAAAGCGGTTGGGGCAAAGTGGCGGTTTGAAGAAAGGGACGGCACGATCGATTATGCATTTCTTTTTTTTTTTGTTTCACTCCCCCAACCTTAGTAGCTTAGACTCTTACCATCTCAATGCCTTTTTTTTCCCGATCCCCCCACCGAAATGAGTGCTGCATCTAAAACAAAAAGCAAGTCCTCTTTCAACAAGGTTCTCTCTCATATCCATCCCTCCAGAAACCCTTACTTCTACATACCAAAATACAAAGGCGCTTGCCAAGCAATTTGGATTTCATTCTTCAATCTGGTGAACAACTAGAATGTTGAACGGCGACCCTGAGGTAAAAGCTTTGCACAGTTGTAAACTGTAGTTAGTAGTGCCAACCAAATCTCTTAATTACCCTTTCACCCACAAGCTCAGGACAATCTTCCAACTTTGATGTATCCTTTGTCTCTGGCATTGAGTGCATACCTCACCGGGCTACATAATGAGCGAGAGGTGTCTACTCTTAGTACAACTAGGTGTAACTAGTACGAAGCTCCTACCTACAGTATTTCATTCTAGACTACTTCGAAAAAAAGAAAGACCAACAGAATATCCATAAAAAGCACAAGCCGTAGCAGAACGGCAAAGAAGTGAGATTCTCGATCTTCCTAAACACCTGTAACCAGCAACCTGTATTTAAACCTGGTGATCATGACTGGGAGGGTATCACATTCCGGAAAAGACAAAACATCGAGTAGAAGACAAGCGTAGAAACATAAAGTAGAATGGAAACATAATCATTATTCCAAGCAAGCATCATCCAATCAAGCATCTTGAATCCCCTAGAGAAATAGAAAGGTTAGCCAATACTGCCGAGAACCTCGACCCGGAAGCAGGGGTGTCGGTTCACTTACAAACAAATATGCTAGGTCTTTAACGCTCAAACGTTGCACATTCATTGAGCCTCCTTCATCGAGGGCACCGCCAATAAGCTCACGCTTCTGCTCTTGGAGCTCGACGATTCGATCTTCAACAGTGCCCTCAATCAGCAGGCGGTGTACAAAGACATCCCTCGTTTGGCCGATGCGATGGGCTCGATCGATAGCCTGGTCTTCAACATAGGGGTTCCAGAATGGATCGAAAATAATAACATGCGAAGCAGCGACCAAATTCAAACCGGCATTGCCAGCTTTCAGAGAAACGAGCATGATCCGCGTCGATGGGTCATCGGTGAAACCCGCAACAGAGGCATTACGATCATCTACCTTCATCGACCCGTCGAATCGAACATATTTCCAGCCACGGCGCTTGAGGGGAACTTCCAAGAGATCGAGTAGTGAGGTGAATTGGCTGAAGATAATGGTTTTCTCTCCATTTCCTCGGTCCTCGTTTGCCTGCAGGATCTCCAGGGACTTTTCAATCTTGGAACTTGGAATCCAGGATTTTTCCAGACGACGGAGATACTTGCGTCTCTCCTTCTGATTCTTCTGACCAGCCTTTCGTAGCACAGCCAGTGATTTTCTCTTGCCCTTTTTCACCGATTCGCCAGACTCATCTTCGGAGTCATATTCGGTATCGAAGTCATCATCGGAAGTCTGGCCATTCTTCCCGGCCTCGTTGTCGGGCGTTGCGTTCGGATTATGAGCTTCTTTAAACGAGTTAAGATCGGTGATCTTCTCAGGATCGACCTGTCCACGGCAATTCTGACACTTAACCAGACCCGATGTATCATCTCGGGCAAGCACCGCGGGGTCGGAGATACGCGCGAAGCATTCACGACAGACCGAATGGCCACAAGGAATGTAAATGACAGCATTTCCAGAGCTATCCATGCAAATTGGGCACGTCCCAGCTTCTTCGTCGCCTTCTTCATCCAGATTCTTGATACGTGTTACAACATCAGGCGTCAAGAGTTTGGCGTTGGCGATTAGATCAACCCCAGAAACGGTGGTGATGTCGTCAGTGTTGATGTCCAACAGCTGTGGGTGACAGCATGCCTGTCGAAGCCGGAGGAGCAGAACTAGCACATGTGTGTAGTTCTTGCCAAGGGTACCGTTGTTGATCAACTTGGTGATCTTCTCTTGGGTCTTGTTATTCAGCTCGGTGTACGCTTCGTTCTCGAATTCGTTGAATACAACATGGACCTTTTCGATCACCTTCGGCGGCAGGTTGAGAATAGGCTGGCCGTCGATCTGAGACGTCTTTGTACGTCGCAAACAGACAGATTTGACCAGGACGCGCAGCTGTTGCATGGTATTTTCCTCCACCATTCCGACACGAACGGGGAAATCCTGTACACACGTGATTAGTTTCATTTTCGTAACGGGGGGATGTTGCGCCGGGATCGGAGCTTCCAAGGAAATCTATGACAATGCGAACACAGTCTGCTGTTGAAACTTACTCGTTTGAATTTCTCCTTATGGTTGTAAGGTCTGATTCGAAGGAATTTGAGAAGCGACTGGAGGTCGTCCAGCTTATTCATCATGGGTGTTCCGGTCAGACACCAACGAAAGGTCGCATTAAGTGCGCAACATGCTTTGTTACTCTTTGCCAATGGGTTTTTGATGTTCTGTGCCTCATCCACAATGACCCGGTGGAATTTGCTGTTTTGCGTGAAGAGGACCGCTTGGCTACGGTACAGCTCGGTGATCTCCGGACCTCTGCCCGCTTTTTCCATTTCGTCGGCCTTGCCCAGAAGGCTGTGGTTGGCCCTTAAGGTGCCGAACGTGGTGATGATCACATCGTTTTTGCGTAGGTCCATCCATGGGGTCCGGCGAGTCTTATCGTGGAAAATAAAGACCGACAGCTTGTGTTTGCCGGGATTGACATGTCGGGCAATTTCGAGTCTCCATTGTTCCATAAGAGCCTTCGGGGCGACAATAATACACGGGTGTCGTTCAGGGTTAGTGGGAGGGCGAGCGGTCATGAGCGCAATCGCCTGGATGGTTTTGCCGAGACCCATATCATCTGCTAGGATTCCACCCTTTTGGACGCTATCTTCCTTTGCCTTCATCCACCTCAGGCCGATCTTTTGGTGCTTCATCAACGTCACCTTGAGGGCACTTGGGGTCTCATCCGTGTCGGCATTTGTGGCATCCCGGATATCTTTAATACCCGTGAGTAGATTTTTGATGTCCTGAGGGAAATGCTGCTCCTCGTAGCGCCTGTAGAATCATGTCAGTATTTCAGTCGGAAGAAGCTCGTGGGCATAGATCGAATAAAATACATACTCAATGTCATCATCCTCCAGGTTCAACTTTGCCTCGTCTAAGGTGCTCATTGCGAGGCCTGCAGCGTCGCGAGTATAGGGCGATACCGCCGGCGGAACCCATGGAAACCTTCGCGGACCAAGGAGATCAGAAGGCATATGTGGAAATCCGTACCCTCTCGGATCTCTGAATTGAGTTCCAAACTTCGTATTGAAGGATTCCCCTGAGATTTCTTGAAGATCGTCATCCAAGTAAGTACCAGGGAGTGGCCGAGCTTGCTGAGCAGGGCCCGCGCCTGTGATCATCATCGCAGGAGAGCCAGGAGAATAAGGAGCGTAAGGACGGTTGTATGGAATTGGAATCGACGAGGCAGGCCTGAAAGTCCCATCGAATCGATGAGGATCCGTTGGTCGGAATGGTAGTCGATCTAGAGAGGGGTGCGTAGAAGCGGTTGACTGGCTGGGTGGATATGCCTCGGGCTCATCCTCGCCAAAATCCTCTGCTTGTAGTTTTCGAGCCATAGCTCCATCTCGTTCCAAGTTGATATCCCTCCGGACAACTCGCTCCTCTTCTTCCATTTCCTCTTGCAGAGCCTCAAGGACCTCCGAGATAGAGATTCCACCGGCCATAGCCCTGAATTCAAGATCATCAACGTCCTTTCGCCTCTCCTCGTAATCTTCGCGGATCTTTAACAACTTGTTATCCAGGTCTTCCGACAACCGCTCCATTCGAGTTTCATACTCGTCAATTAGAGCCTGTCGTTTTGAAGGAGCAGCGAACGGCGAGGAGATCGAGTCATGACGCGGTCGCTTGCGAGATACATCGGAGGCCGATGAGGTATCAAGCTCTGAGTCTCCATTCCCGTTGGTTTGAGGCGTGAATCGAGATCGGGATGCAGAAGGGGTTGATGAAGGGCCCGCAGTCGGAGATTGAACACGATCTGCATGCCATCCCTGTTTGGGAGTAACTCGAGTTTGAGGGTGCGAGGGGCCATATCCATTGCTCGTAGGAGGTCGAGCAGGAGTATTGCTGGCCGACGGACCAGGCGAGGCCGTTGAGGATGAAGCGGTCGAAGCTCCAGTGTGTGCCACGGGTGACGCAGGCCGTGGGTTTGGACGAGGTTGTTCATTTCCCTGCTCCGTTGAAGCATCTGGGATATCATTTCCCAGGAGTACTTGGAGTCGAGCCTCGAGCTCCCTGAGCACTCTGGCATCTTCAGTCAATTGTTCGGGGTCAACTTGACTGGCAAGGTCTTCTTCGTAGAGAAATTTGCGTGTTTCGATGTCCCCGAGGAGATCTTCCACTTCGAGATTTCTGTCAGACGCCATCTTGGCGGAAGAGATACACTCTTTACACTTTCTGCGGGCGCAGTAGGTGGAAGTTGACACAAAAATGAGTACAAGCAGATAATGGCTTGATAACAGAGGCAATAACACAAATCATGAAAGAAAAAAGGAACAAGTACCGGCCCGGCTAAACAAAAGCAGAGCCGGCAGAGGGCTTTGTTCCAGGATAGAAGAAGAGTTATCTGATTGAAGGTCAGCATTTCAAAAGTAGAAGTAGAAATAGAAATCGCAGGCAAACGCGAAGGCGGTGGGGCCGAGTGGGAGAGTGGAGAATGGGAGGATGAGATGGGGGTGGGAATGAGAGATGGGAGATGGGAGATGGGAGATGGGAGATGGGAGATGGGAGATGGGAGATGGGATGGGATGGGATGGGAATGGGAATGGGGACAGGCAGCAGAGCGGGTGTGGCAGGCGGAGACGCGTTGGGAGGGCGCCTTTTCACCCTCACCGGGGTGCCCAGGTGCGCGAGGCTGTGAGATGCAAACAAAGTAGAGGCAGACAGCTGACACTTACGAACAGAAGGTGTCTCTAGTGACGGTGTGATGGTCAGAGATTGAATTGGTGGGGTCTGCAATTGTGAGGGTGAATCGAAGAGGAAGATGATGTCCAGGAAGAAGTATAACAGAGTAAATGGAAGGTGGAAATCTGATTGATCAGATCAGATCAGGTCAGATCCGACTCTGACGCGAACTGCCACGCGGAGGTGTGAACTGTGTGAACTGTGTGAAATGTGTGATAGTACGGAGTAGTTGGAGGTGGAAAGGAAGACGGAGATTTGACGCGGTCATTCGTCACGCAACTAAGAATCGTTGACCATGGTTATATACCACTTTAGAAATACTAATATACTAGTAGTCAATAGTATTAATCTAATCAGTTTGACCTTAATTTTTCATATTAATCCACTCTATCCACACTCAATTCTACGTCAATTCGTGTAAATATGAAAATCTTCCTGAATTGCCTGTTTGGGGTAGTTTCCCCGTTTCCGGCTGTACTCCAGGGCGATCTCGTCTTGGACTGCATCCACCGTATACAAAGCGCTTAGCTACTTGATTCTCGTCAAGTCTGCATTTCCTTGACTCAGGAGCCTAATGACTCATTCTGGGCTGTGGCTGAAAGCAGAATCCTCAAATGAAATGATGTCTCTGGGGACAGAGACATCCCGATATCGTACTGGTCTCAAACCAACCCCGATGTGATCTACTAGGATTTGGCGAGAGCACGAGAATCAAGGCTAGTTCAGGACATGGGAGATATGCCCCTCAATAATTATATAGGGAGAGTAGGTAACATTGAATTGCCTGAAACTAGTTACTCTACCCTTGGGTATAATAGCACCTGCGTTAGTTCAATTGTGGAAAAGACAAGCAATTCAAGAGAATCTCGTGCAGTATTTCACGCAAGATGATCTCAAGGCCTGTCGCTTGGTCTGTCGAGACCTTGCTGTAATATTAGCACCATTCCGGTTCGCAGATACTACAATTGTCTTTCGCAGTGGCACGTTGACCAGGCCATCTCGGCGTGCGGTTCTCGGGCAGATTGGCCCATACATCCACACCCTGACTTTCAAGATGCCGCACTCACCGGAGACCTTTTTACCTCCGGTGATCAACTCGACCACCGGAAAGAAACAGACCTTCCTATACGCGCCTCAGAGCCACAAGATGGCCTCAAAGATTCCACGATACGGAACCTGGGAGATGACCGACTTGTTTGTGAAACAGTATCCGCCCTTATTCCACGCAGCAACCGATGTTCGTGCATTCGTGAGAGCACTGTCGTCGATGCCGAACCTGCGACATCTTCGCATCAACTGTGAGGGTCAACCACGCAGCCACCGGTATCGTCGGAGTATCGTGGATTAAGCGCTCATATCGTTGCGGGTGGCGGTCGAGCAGGCGCCGTTGAGCCTACTCGGTAGGCTTTCGTTGATCTCCATTCATCCAGGAGCTGTCTTGTATCTCCAACCAACGATCGGATTTGGCGCATCTCCTGCCTCGCGTAGGCGTTGGCACCAGATACGCCATTTGACCATCCAAATGACGAGTTTCTCCCATGAAGTTGGTCCAACAGATCACTTGAAGCTCCTCCATGCGTATTTGCAAAGCTTCCCCACACTCCGCGTAGTGAGGTTTCACTGGCAAGGCCACAAGGGACTATCACCGATCTCCTTGGCGACAGAGCCATGGCTGCAAAGAAGATCCGACAAGCGAGCCGCTGTGCGTGGCATTCCGAAAGCAATGAGTATAACTAAGGCCTTTGAAACTGCACACTCTCCAGGAGATGGAGCTGGTCAATGTCACCATTGACGCATCCCAAATTGCATCTTTCATCCTTGATCACCGACATTCCCTACGCGAGTTCAATCTTCAAGAAATTAACTTGCGAACAGGAACCTGGAATGTGGCACTGGCACCTTTAACCTAGCTCAGCGGCAGTGACCAGTGGAAAGAGGCGCAAAAACACGAAAGCACGATCGACGTCCCCATTGTCTTGAGCCGGACTGGGATCAATGAAAAGCAGTTGCAAAGGGTTCTCCAAGTAGTCGACCGACCAAGGGATGGTTTGCGGGGATGGCGAGGACACGGGTGCGTGATAAAGTCGGGGGGATCGGATCATATCAAGCGGCTGCTACCGGTGTCAGTGCTAAGCTGGCGGTGACGTCAAGCGCACGCGAGAAATATTACGCGAGTAGGGGAGGGAAGGAAATGGGGGATGGGGATGTCGATCCCTCGGAGGGAAATGATTTCATGTGTATCCGCACGGAGGAACTGGATTGAAGGTGAATGTGGAGAAAAGTGCGGAATCACGGGGAGGCGGGCCTCGGTCACGGGCGGATCACATGGCAGCTTCACTTTCCAGCTATAACTTCTACTTGGACTGGTTCATTTATTACTCCTCTCTTCCCCAGAACTTCTCTCTGCACTCCACTCCTTCCACTACTCCACAACTTCATTCACCATGCCTCTCAAGAACGGTATGTGGCTAACCATGGCTTACCTTACATATCGTCGCATCTTGTCACTGACACACTCTCACAGATTCCTTCCCTTCCTCCGCCGCCTTCGACGTGATCAACCAGACTCTCCAGTCTAACGACGCCGACCGCAAGGATGCCGTCGACAAGGCCAAGGCCATCGTCGCTTTCAACCTGAAGAACTCTAAGGGCGAGGAGAAGAGCTGGTACCTCGACCTGAAGAACAAGGGCGAGGTCGGCGAGGGTGCCGCTCCCGCCGGTGGCAAGGCTGATGGTGAGTTGAGCTTCCATATGAATACAAGACGAATGCCAGGAGAAACATAACTAACCATTTTTTCTTGCGCATACAGTCACTCTGAACCTCTCCGATGAGGACTTCGCCCAGCTGGTCTCCGGAAAGGCCAACGCCCAGCGTCTGTTCATGGGTGGCAAGCTCAAGATCAAGGGCAACATCATGAAGGCGACCAAGATGGAGCCCATCCTGAAGAAGGCCCAGGGCGGTGCCAAGCTGTAAATTAGATACCCTTTATTTTTTTTGACGATCCACAAATCTGTACAGATACATTTTCCTCGGTGTTCATATCGTCCTTGCTGTGGATGACGCGCACGAATAGCTCTTACTTTATGCAAAAGAAGTGATGACTATAATTATTGCCCAAACAAAATTACCCGCGCGTAGGAAATGATACAGTCTATGCAGTAGATAGTTTAGGGTAACAACCTTAAGCTCCGAGTCTTATCTACAACTCCCCAACGCGCCCTTCTCGAAGTACTCGCCCTTGCTCCAGTTCGACAAAGTATTCTGCATCCTTGACAGCCTCGACCCGATGCGCGATCGTGATAACCGTCGACAGCTCTAGCTCTTCACGGACAATCTGCTGGATCTCTAGCGACGTTTCATGATCGATCGATGCGGTAGCCTCATCAAGAATCACAACAGCGCTGCGTCGGAGAACAGCCCGGGTGAGCGCGATAAGCTGTCGTTGACCCTGGCTGAGGTTCTTTCCCCCGGCTTCAATATGCGTTTCAAGGTTCCAGCCATGTCGACCACAAAGCCGATCCAGGACTTCCGCGCATTGGCGATCGGAAAAGTCATTGGTCGGATCCAGATTGAGGCGAATACTCCCCGGGAAAAGAACAGGGTCCTGCGCAACAAATGTGACTCGAGTGCGTAGAGCTTGAGTGCTGACGTCCGCGATGTTGATATTGTCGATCAAGATCCGGCCGGACTCAGGTCGAATGACACTGAGCAACGATACTGCCAACGTTGACTTGCCGCTGCCGGTGCGGCCGATAATAGCTGTGATGGACCCACCAGGGATACGAAGCGTGATGTCTCTCAGTGAAGGGTCAAGATGAGGCGCATAGCGCATAGTAGCATTCTCAAAGACAACGTCGCTACCATAGGTGGGCCATGCCGCAGGTGGTTCAATTGTTCCTGGGGATTCCTCTTCGACGTGAAGTAGCTCATCGACTCGTTCGACCGAAACAAAGTCCATCTGTAGCTGACCATATTGCTTGCAAAGGCCGTGTGTAGATTGTACGAAGGAATTTGCAGCAATTAGCACGAAAGCGACAAGTCCGGGTGTCGTGTCGGTGTAGAGAGCCAAAACTGTTAGTCCGAAAGTTGACAATGCAGAAAGACTCTCAAAGCGGTACATAAGCCATGCCTGCAAAGACCAGTAGAAGTGATCCATGCCTTGGAACTTGTCAACTACCGATATAACTCGGTCCTGAAAGCGTTCTTCGGCTCGAAATGCACGGACGGTGGTCAGTCCATGAAGTAGTTCTCCGAAATTGGACAGCAGCGGAGTGAGTGATACCATTTCAAGTCGTCGCAAGCTCTGAGATGTTGGTAGGAAGCGCAGAAAAACCAGGACAAACACCACAGTGAGCAGTAACGAGAATGCGAGGAAAGTTGGAGTAGCCGTTGCAATGACTAGAATCGATGAAATCCAGGTGATGGCATAGAAAGCAATGGTTTGGAATTGTGAGCTGATGTTACCGTCAACAACACCAATATCAGACGTGAGACGGTTCATCAATCGGCCCACCGGAGTGACATCAAAGAATCTAAAGGTCGCATAACTGACCCGTGTCATCACTTGCCGGAATAATGTCTTGCCAGCACAATAAACGATTACCAACATCAAGCTTTGGGAAACAAGAAGGGTCGTTGCCTGGAAGGAGACGATGCAGAAGAAAGCCCAAAGCCACGGACGAACATCGTCACTTGGAGGGGGTAATCGATCTATGGGATTCCAGGACATGAAATGAGAATCCACATAAGACGCTGATGCGAGGAAGGCATTTCCAGACGGAGAGAGGTTGACCCCAGGCAAAGAAGTCATTCAGAGTCAAAGGTATCTGGTTGTAGGCTTCACCCCATCCCTTGAGGAACCATGACTGTCCCACAGCAGCCAGTCGATAAACAGTCAGAACAAGAACCAAGGAAAGCCACCACCGATATTTTCCAGCTCGGATATAGCTCCAGTAAACTCGAGCTTTGACACCCCATTCGGCACGATGTTCTTCCTCAATGAACTTTTCCGGAACTGCACTAGCTTCCTCTTCACTGGAGGCATCCTGTTCAGTTTCCGATTCTGACTGGCCGATTAGCGATGTCTCGGTCCCAGTATTGGTAGACGCTTCAATTGCGCTCTTGTCATAAACAGTGGCGTGTCCATCAACGATATTGACAATTTGCCCAGCAATACCCCGAACAAGTGCCATACGATGTGTCACCAAGACCACAGTACGATCTTGAACCAATGGTCCGGCCAAACATTTACGGGCGACAAATTCGGCCGTGTTGTGATCAAGCGCAGATAAAGGATCATCTAGTAGCAGCACGTTCGAGGCACTGTACACTGCCCGAGCTAGAGCGACACGCGCTTTCTGGCCTCCAGAAAGACCAATGCCGTTCTCGCCGATAAAAGTCAGATCTCCGTGTTTGAATCGAGAGAGATCGGGAAGGAGAGCGCAGGCTTCGAGTGTCTTCTTGTAGCGCTGCTCTTGGTATGGCGAAGAGAACAGAATGTTATCGCGAATGCTCATACTTTGCAACCACGGTGTCTGGGCGCAGTAGCCCACCATTTCGTTTGGAACACGAGAGGACCCTTCAATCTGATCGAGCTCCCCTAGAAGCGACTGTAGGAAGGCGGTTTTCCCTGCGCCTACCTTGCCGCTGATGACTGTGAGACCCTTTGGGATTATCACACTGACATCCTTTAGAACAGGTGTTAGTTTCCCAGGCCAGGCATATGTGCAAGAATCTAGGTGGAATGGAATGTGCTCGGTTGAAGTATCCGCGGGATTCTGTATCTTGTCTGGCTCTGCCATGAAGTCCTCGATGCGGCCCAAGGCAATTGAAGCATTGATGAGAGTAGTAATCAAACTTGGAATCTCGCGTAGACGGACCTCGAGCATGGAGAACAGCTGCAAGGCAGGGAATATGATATCGATCCTCAATTCATGACCGGCAAGGACGGTGTAGGAATATAGTGCCAGAACGGGGAAAACACCACTCGCGAATGTATTGATGAAGGTAATCAAGATGTTCCATAAGCCTGTAATGATTCGCAAGTCCAGCTCATGCTGTCGAGCATCCATAACTTGACGAAGCCAATGATCTTGCCACCCATACCACCGGAGATGACGGATTGCTTCAACAAACTGCGAGGTAATTTGCAAGCGAACGTCTGTCGCGGCTCGCTTGACGCGTTCATAACGAAGCAATATTTTGGTAACAACTGCATTTGCTGCTTGAGCAGCCAAAACAGACAGTATACCCAAGAAGCAAGATGGACCAAATAGCGTCCAAACTAGGACCACGGCTATGATCAAGCCCAGAGGCTTATCAATTAGACTGTCAATCTCCCAGTATCGCTGAGCTACGTCGTAAACATCACCTCGGAGAAGATTGAAAATCTTTCCCAGGACGCAGCTTCTTTGGCCTTGTTCGGCTTTGGCTTAGACTTTCCAGAAATAAAACGATGCCAGAGGCCAGGCTTACCTGGGGAAGGCTCAGCCCCATGAGTTACCGTATCCCCATTGGCAGTTTCATCTTCTTCATTCAGCACCTCCGCTGCCTTTTCGTGTGTGCCGAGGATATTCTTTCGCGATAGTGCCTTTTCATAAACCATCATAACCATTTCGCCTCTTGACCTCTCGTAGCACCGGCGACCGTACCACAAATTCAATACTTGAGATTGTGCAGCAACAAGTCGTAGCACCAACGACAAAAATGCGTACGTCAATGGTACTCTTTTCGGCTTTGTCGGATCCTGCATCGATTTCAAGAGCTGCTGCAGGAGCACGGGAGTTGAGAAATCACAGAACATCTGCACAATGGCAATAGTCGAAATGATAAAAACATCCAGGCCATTCGCCCTCAGGGTCCGAGCAAGCACAGATCCCTTGAGCCGACGGAATTTCTCATGGAGACGGCGATGTTGGAACTCAAATCCGAGTAGCCAGACATCGCGTTCATGTAATTGCCTGTTGCGCCCGAGGGCGATCAACGGCTGTATCCACGAAACAGTAAGAAACTGCCATAGTCGGAGGTTATCTTCTGGACTACGGAAGTCACTGTTTGGGGTCTGGCCGACTGTGCTAATTTCGAAAATCGGGGTTGAGGTTGTTCGAAAGGGCATGAGAAGGATAATGAACGCGTTGAGTAGAGCAGCACTGGCACCAACATAATGGGCGACTGCTTTGGATCTCCGGCCTGTGTCGCTCTGGACAGCCACAGAGAGATCGACGGCAAGAGCTAGAATGAAGTAAGCCAGAAGAGGAATTGAACATGATCTCGGCCTTTTAGCGGCGATCAATGCGGCTGCTGTAGCCTAGAATCGAGTCAGTGAAGTTTATGATTATACACGCGTTACCTACCCAAGATGTGACGAATATTATTTCGAAAACATTAGGGTTCGAATATAAGCAGCTCCAGGCCTCTGCGAAAAATCCAATTGTTGAGAATCCGAAAAGCGTGATAGTCCAGTGAAGGGGCTGGTGTTTGGGTCCTTCCTGCGGGAGCTCTTCTTGCTGCTCATCTTCTGATACGAAAGGCAGAGTCCACTCAGGGCGCCATCGATGCAGTAAGGGCCCAAATAGGTGATGTACTGCGATAATCAAAGCGACACTTGTCGGTGCAATTGCGAAGTATGGCAATGCACATGGCGACAGCCAGGCGTTGTCGGAGTCCTGGATTGGTCAGACCGACTGTATCTGCCGATGTAAGGAGGTCATACCCAGAAGTGGCCACAATGACGTTGGTCAACGTCGTGGGAGAGGGGGATCTGATTCATCGTTCATTCCGTCGAGAATAAGATAAATTCCTGCGATTAATTGATTGGAAAGTGTCCTCATGGCAGCTAGACTGGCCGGTTTCATTCAACCTGCGGGGATGGGAGGGGGGAACAACGTTCCTCCGGTGGGGACATGAGTATACAAAGAGGGATACTCGTAAGTACTAAGGTAAGTAGCAAGACAATGAATCCGTTGATATGTTCAATTGAGAAAGTAAAAACGCTAAATGATAAATAAAATATACAGAATAAAAACGCCAGCTATTCTCGACCGGCGTATCACCCACCGATGAACATAAAGGACATCAATCCTGCCCATCCGCCTACCATCACCACAGTCAAGATCCCAGCTCCCGCTTTGTCTCCTGTTGTGATTGGTTTGGGCGTGTCCTTGTCGGTTTCACTCTCTGCGCCAGCATTGGGGTTGCTTTTACTGTCTCCTCCAGTGGTGGATGTCACTGGTCCTTTGCCACTATGCTCATACCTGACCAAGTATGAACTGAAGATATTGCTGGCGCTAATCTGTTGTTCCATTCCATTCATACCGTCGTATTTCGACTGGTACCAGCGGACACCACATGTATTGTTGCCGAGTCCGGTACAAGACTTTGCAGCCGCCTGAATAGATGCCTCCAATTTCGGTAGAATCGTATCATATGTCGACGGAACCAAAAGCGCGGTGTATGCAAGCCACCAGGAGAACAGACCCTTGAACAAGATTTCGTTGTCGTTGCATTGTTCTGAGGGCTCACAAGTTACCTCCTCCATGGCACCACCGTGTTGAGACAAGAAGAACTGCTGAAATGATGTCTTCAGGAGACCATTGACAGCAGTAAGCCATTTGTCGTCGCTGGTCTACACGCAGAATTGTTAGTATGATCTGTCCAAATAGATTACTGCAATGCAATACTGACCTTGTTGTACATATAAGCAGCTCCACCCAGATAAACACCATAATTGTAGGTCCACTGGATATTGCCGGGAGATTTGCAGTTGTCATCCATATTGGCTGAGTCTGCAATAACCCAGGTCTTATTATTCATAAGCACAGAGCTAGCCGACCAGTTCCAGGCCTTCTCCGCCCAGTCCTTGTATTCAGAATCTCCGGTATACCGGTAAAGACGAGCTGCCAGCTGGAAGAATCCACCGTTTGACACAGAATTCTTCATTGTATATCCACTTTGGTAGACAAAGGCCTGCCAGCGTAGCCCACCGCCACACTTTGTCGTGTCCCATCGGTTCTTCTGGTCATTAAAGACACCCTGCGCAAGGGAGAGCCAGGAATGTCCATCCGAGACATCTGGAAGCTTCGATTCGGCCGCTTGGATTGCTGCAAGACCCCAGAACATTTGATCATCATTTCCCTACAAATTCCAACCATTAGTTCTGGCAGCCAACCTTGAAGCCATAACATCTTCTGGGTAACAAGCCTTACCAAGAATGAACTATAGTTGCTAGTCCAGTAGTCGCCGTTTGGTCCACCTTGAAATTGCAAGGCCTCACTCAACTCATCGTTATATGTATCGTCGCCAGTGAAATGCCAATAATTGAGAAGCGCGAGAGATAGAGCAGCACCTTCCCACCACTTGTCAGGGAAACCGCCTGGAATCTGACCCGTTTCATTGCCATGATACCATGTCATCATTCCGTAGATGGACTGTGATGCAGCATCCTTGATAGACTCTGTTGTTCGTAATCTGAGATTAGTGGCCATCACTCAATCGGATTGGATGGAGAACGAAACTCACGTTCGTCGTCAACTTGAAGGTCAATCGCAGAGACTTTTTGTCCGAACAGTAATCCATAGAGGAGACATGTCCATGTTGACTTGAACCACATCGCGACGGGAGATCGCGTCCGCTAACCGACTCGTTGTATTGGGTAAACTTGAGGCCCGCTGGTTTATCCGGTACTGTGAGCGTCGTTAAAATCAATTGGCCTCCTGTGCAAGTCGTGAGCCTTTGAGAGGAGAAGAAAGGCTTGTCTGGGGTTGGAATCGAAAAAACCAGCGTTTGCGGGGCGGCAAGTCTCAGGACTGCGCTGAGCCGCCCCAGCTATGTCACCTACAAATCCCTGAGAAATATTAAATGGAGCCTTCGTCTTACCCTGGTTAAAGTGGAGAAGGGGTGGACGTAATCACCGTCAATCTTGTGTACAAAAGGGTATGTAAGGACCCATTCGCTGTTATCAGGTGTGGTGGGTAGCTATGAACGTTATGACTCGCCAAGACCCTTGATTCCCCGAGGCCCATTCGAATCACGTCAACCAACTGGATCAATGGATCGTCAGGAGATTCATGGCTGTGTTCTCCACTCTCAAGGATTCGACGGCACGCATGATTGATCGCTCACATGTATCGTAGCCCGAACACAGACCTGTTCTGAAAGGAACACGCACAGCATGTCTTCAAGCAGCCAAGAGGCTGCGCAGCATGCGACATCTCGATACTCTATGGCCAAAAATCAATCGGCTTGGGGCGCACGGAGCCGAAAGGCTTGAGAAGGTCTTAAACCAATGATAATATAAGTGTGGGAAGAGCGGGTCAGGGTCAGCTCCACCTAACTTCGACTCCACCACTGATATTGGTGGAAGAAACGCGCTCTGGAGCGATCTTCTATTTTCGGAGTGACAATCACTTCCGGATGTGTCGAATCCCACTGACATCATCCTATGAAATGTTCATCGCCTGCTCAGGGGGAGCAAGATTGTTCAGGTACTCTTGGCGATTTCCGCCTTCGGTGCTTTTCACCGCCCAGGAACATTGAGCCGGGTACGATATTGATGATCTTGACCTACAGTAAAAAGCTGACAATTCCTTGGTCACTTGGCATTTAAGCTTATTTTCTTGTTAAGTCGTGTTCTTTGGCCCCCGTACTTTCACATTTCGGTTTACTCATTTTTCCCTGTGTCGTGCTATGATCACCACCTCCTTGCTTACGAGTATGACCTATTGATATTTCTCGTGTACAGACTTTGCGATGCGATACTTAGTAGTATATGAAAAATAATGCCGATAGCAAATAAACCTTGGAATCCGACAAAGCGCGGGATCTGGAGATCGAGAAGTATGAAAAACAAATACCCTTATTAGCTGGCTTCTACACCAATCGTTGCCTCAATACTACCAACATAATCCATGATTTCTCAATAGAACGTACTCTACCTGTTAGCTTGGAACAGTTGATCTGTCTCGGCGGACGCCTTGCATTCTTTACAGTGATGTTTACAGTATAAATTCTAACACTCTTCAAAATAGATAGCACTTCGTGAAACTACAACTTGATATTGTGTCATTTTTTCAAATGCAAAAAGCCATACCAGATACAACTTCAGTCAAGCAACTCACTCCGCTGGACCAGTCTATGCCGAGGATCTACATCAGCGCAGTATTTGTTTTCAAGGAGACATCACCGACACCTCAGATCACCCAAAAGCTCCAATACGGACTAGAAAACCTTTTGAAACAGATCCCTTGGTTAGCGGGAAAGGTCTTCCACCGCCGGACCCGCGGGTTTTCGGCCCCGTCGGTCCGCCAAGACTGGTGCACGTGTATACATAGTTCAACGCCCAATTATACTGGAATTTTGAAAGAAAAAGAAAAAAAATTCTTAAAGATTTAAGAAAATCTGGTTCTAGAAATTATTATCCTAAGTTCTAACCCTGGAGCCGCCCACCACTGGCCTCCCGTACAACCCGCATCCACTCGATGCCCGATAGTTCATCCGCATGAATCGAGACCTTAAAATCAAGTATTCTTCTGAGCTGCTCCTTCGTCGCAGCGTACAACATCCGAGACTGGCAGTGGTCAGATATGACATAGGTAGCAACGTGGTAAAAACGAGTTAAGAAAAATACGCACCCGCGTCGACGTTTCCTCGGGCACCCAACTAATAAAGACAGTCGTTGCCCTAGTCGCACCGACCACGTTAGTCACAATGATCCCAAATCTCTCACTCACAAATCAGAGTCTAGTGTCGGGTGTAATATACCTTTTCCCATCCCCCTTCAAGTCATATTCCACATCATAAACAGCATACCTTGGGGCCGGGTTTCCCTCACGATCAACGGAAGATGCCAGTTTTTGTAGAAAAGCCTCATAGTTTCTCTCAGTAGAGCTCTCTTCCACCTCAATGGACCTTTTATCGTCGCTGATTTTGTAGATCAGAAAAGATGGCTTGTTTGCGCCTCGCTTGTTGTGGAGTTGGGTGTATGCAGTGATGCATTCGGTTGGGATGTTGACACTTTTTGATTCCAAACTTAGCAAAGAGTCCTCACAAGAAGAACCCGCTTTACTTGATGACATACCCAGATGGAAGCTAACACCAGTGAAACCCATCGTCAGTGTCAAATTCAATGATCCCACAAAAGTTGAAATTGTAAACTAACCGACATTGTGCCTGAGGTGGTGAAGATTAAGAATGAGTGAACTTAGTATGGTGTGAAAAAAAAAGATATTCTCATATTCCAAAAACAATGCACAACAGCAGCTATTAAATGGTAAATCTACCCTAAACTATTTTTAATCAACCAGGCAGAAAAAAAGATTGCTCCTTTAGCATGTCTTTTGAGAAAGGAATTCCCCAATACTAAAGGGGCTTATCGGGTCTTTGGGTCTTTGGGTTTTTGGTCCCACGGGCCCGAGAGGCCGGTTGCTTAGCAGTGAAATTGTCAGAAATAGATAAAACCATGATTCAGCATTAGTGATATAATTTTCTGTATTATTGCCCTCGTTGCATTCGACACTAAAGTATTAGAAAATAGCGAAAGCATTAGGTGGGCTGGCCACCCCACCGACAACCTGATCAATCAATAAAGTTAGCATCCTCCCGCACATACATACGACATATTGAGTTAGATTTGATCTACCTTGAGGGGCATGCTAGACAAAAAGAAGCTATATCTGCCAGTCGCCTTGCAGTGCTGAGATAGCTTCTCCAAGTCAAACATTTCACCGATCGGAGTTCCCCACCCAGCCAGCACCCATTCATGAAGATTGAAGTCCGGATCAGCATGGCTACCCCGGATTGGAGCCCGTTCAAAGCTCGGCGCATCGCCGGCGACGGCAGCAAATTGTTGATCCCACAGCCAGCGGACCATACCCTCTGTCGCTTCCACACCGCTGAAATCAGGACTTGGGCGTTGCGGAATTGCTTCGCGCTGTTTATCATCCAAGTTATTGTATGCAGCGGTGAATCCGCATCTGATGAAAAGAATATCGCCCTTCCTGAATTCAAGATTATGGTCTTTGATCACTTGTTTCAGTTGCTCGAGAGTTATAGCTTCGGAACTCAATGCAGATACCGATATGGATTTGCATGCGGCCCATTCAGCAAAATCGAGCAGAACGCCACGGCCAGTGATACCACCATTTTCGGCAACAGCTAGTATTTCTTGGTCAATTATGGCGCCTTATGTAACGAGTACAAATTTTATGGGATTCGCGTACTGTGTATGCCAATGACATCGGAGCTCTCAATCTCATCCGTCGTATGCCCGTTATAAAACTGTCGTGACTTTTGGTTCGCTGAGACCCGATTTAGTATTCAACTCTCCAAGATACTTACTGTTACCTAGTGTACCTAGGTAGGTAATTATCAACTCACCGTAATGCCGGAATCCATCCCACTGTGTTGAGCCCTGGCTGTTGAAGGACAAGATGTCGTCATATATACAGTTGGGATGCCGGAGAATTATCTGCTGCTTGAACGGGTCGCGATTGAAGCTCGGATAGGAGGGCATGCTAAGCGGCCAATCGAGAGAGATGCGCACTCCAGTCCTGATTTCTCTGGCGGCTTCCACGATAACCCCAGGTGTGAGAAAGTTGAGTGTACCAAGTTCATCCTTAGGCCCAAACCTGCCCCAGGCGTTTCCTCGTGGGCCCTTCGGGTCGAGGGGGAGGGCATCGAAGGGAACTGTCGTTGTATCTTTGATGGCTGCCATGGAGTGTAAGAGCTCTGCGGATGTGCAAGGTCGAAGAACCCAATTATGATCCAATACTGACTTATCTTTCACTCCTTCACTCGGTCTTAGATGGCCCGTAAACCCCTCATTGCGGAGGTACCCCACACCCCCACGCGTCGGATTCATATCCGCTCCCGGCAAAAAGCAGACCAACAACCCTATTCCCGGATATGACTATAAAGGTAGATATATGATAAACAGGAGACTAGCTAAGTAGATGATTTTAGCTCTGTCGCGAAATAAATCATAGTGTTTCCTTTTATCCCTTGTAAAATGAAGTACATTGATTTAGAGTGTAATAGGTGGGCCTGAGATGTACTAGGATGTCTACTCCGTACTCGTAGTAGTAACATTTAATCTGATGGGATAGTCAGGCATTCGGAGGAAAGTTCAAATGCTATCCGAGTCCTTATATGTCAATATTTCGTTCCATAATTCCAATTTTGTCAAATAGGTCTTATCGCCCACAGCCATCACAGTCAAGTGAGAGACGCCATGAATACTAGAGCTTCGAATATCGCGAAACCCAATGCTGACTTGAACAGCATTAGGTAGGCAGACGGTCTATAGAAATAGAGTCCGAAAATTGGCCTAGGCCTCTTGGTTACCGATCTATTTTAGTCCTTATTTGACTACCCGCTGCGGACTTATCTCGATTTTCTTTTTTGGCATATAGACCCTTTTCAACTTTTTTTTAGTTGCCTAAAATCTTTCGGCATGCTATTCGATGCTGTCATTATGCTTCACCAAAAGTAAGATGTCTATGGAAGGGAGGCGGCTGATCTAGCATGGGGCCTAAGCCGCGACCTTGTGGAACACTGCCATCTGATTCGAGGCTCGTATAGTGTAGACTTTCGGACGGCTTCCGGCAAAGCCCCCAGCCTCAAGCATTCAAAGCGTGGCACTCTCCTAAAATTAGCAAATGGGAGGCATGGGGTGGGGAAATCTGACAGAATCACTTCAGAGTTAGTCCATACGAACTAGCCAATCGAGGTTACGTCTTAGGGCCATGTGGACCCACCTTTAGGGGGCCATCTCGTATGGACAAAGTCAACAACGATTTTTCATCAGGCAGCGGGAAAGCAACAGATTGATATTTAAATCAGTCATATCTCTAGATTTATCCTCATCAAATTCAAGGTCGTTCTCATAATCACTAGTACCATTGCCTTGCGTCATACGCTTCACCGACATCATGGCTCAATGCAAAGGTACGGACAAATTACAAGCATCTCCGATCTGCGATTGCATTCCCCATCAGAATCAAGTAACTAACAAGTGATAGCTTTGACGACTCCCGATACAATGTGGCCATATTGCCCATCAATTGCCCCTGCATACCTTTTTGCCGTCCTCTTCGGCCTGACAACTCTCTTCCACATCGCACAGGCAATCCTGCATCGCAAATTTTACTGCTGGGTCATCGCCATGTCCGGAGCGATGCAAACAGTGACCTATATCTTCCGTATATTGAGTATTCTCAGTCCGGCCAGTTATAGCTATTATGCTACTTGGTTCATCCTGATTCTGGTCGCACCACTGTGGACCAACGCCTTTGTCTATATGGTTATGGGTCGAATGGTCTGGAACTTCAGCGATGATGCACGTGTCCTGCACGTACGACCATGGAGGTTTGGTCTTTTTTTCGTCATTCTTGATATAGTGTTAGTCCCCTTTTCTTCGATATATGGCCCTATGCTAATGATCGAAAAGCGCGTTTATTGTTCAAGTCTATGGAGCCGCGACGGCAGCAGGCGATGATGTCTCATACAACACGGAAATGATGGGACTACATATTTATATGGGTGGCGTCGGCGCACAGCAGCTCTTTGTCCTCATGTTCATTGTCTGCGCAATCTTTTTCCACCTCAAGATTATCCGGCAGCAACGGTCAGATCTGAAGAAGGCTCTACTTCTCCTATATGTGCTTTATGCGTGTCTCGCCTTGATCACGGTAAGTAGGAAAGACTCGGAGCTATAATATGATTATAGTATGAAGCTAACTGGAATAAAGCTGCGCATCTGTTTCCGTTTGGCCGAATATTCGCAGGGTCTAGAAAGCAAAATCCCCCTCCACGAGGCGTACCAGTATTGTCTGGACAGCTTGCCTATGCTGATTGGACTCGTGCTTCTCAACGCTGTGCACCCAGGCCGCATCATGCCGGGCAAGGATAGTGACATGCCGAGCCGCAAGCAACGCAAAACTATGACAACCTACACTAAGACTCGGGCATTGGATGATGAAGTGGTATGTACTAGTATTGTTCTCTGCTATATGATATGGCTATCGCTGACATGTTCCATTTAGACTCTACAGGAATATTCGAGCGTCTAGAGGGGGGCTATTTAATACTATTGCCAAATTGTTTGTACGCATTTAGCGCATCGGTGTTTCATTGTTAGAATGTGTTGGTAATGATAGAAATGGCTTGTTGTTATGGTGTATACTCTGTCTGCCATATCCTCGTAAATTCCACCGTAATTTTCATAATTTTCCCCCACGGATGTATTCAAGCTGGAAATTCAAATTATGGAGATAAAATAGTACACACTTTAGTCTCAACTTTTGTTGCTCAACGCCAACCTAAGAAGTTGTTGGCTCATGAGAATCGAGGCTAAGCCCTATCGCTGACAAAGTGGAATCGCGTCGCCCCCAACCGACAATTTTCAAGCCACCGAGACGACCCCTCGTTCGTCCACCCCATACCACCTCCAATCCCCTACAGCTTGCGAGAACCATGCCCCGAGTCGATCCGGAGGCCCGAGTACGAGCATATCGGCCCAAGACAAGGACCGGCTGCTTGACCTGCAAGTCCGTTTCCCCCGCCGCAACATGATCCCCTGCTGACTGGATCTAGGAGTGAGAGGCGCATTTCTCTGCTTTAACCTCTTTTCAAGTTCTTTGACTACTCACTGAAAACAAATAGAACGACGCGTCAAGTGCGGTGAAGAACGCCCGGTCTGTCGGCGATGCACGTCTACCGGCCGCCAATGCGATGGCTATGGAGACACTAAACCATCGGTTAGCTTAACGACTTCACGATTAAATTCACTACTGCCGAAAGGACCCACTGTCCAGCCATCTGCCGTTCCCTGGTATAATTTATTTAATAGCGATCGGGAGCGCCGATCCTTTCAATTCTTCCTGGAGAAGACCGCCCCTCAGCTGGCCGGCGACTTCGAGTGCGCCTTCTGGGAATCCCTACTACTACAGTCCGTGCACCACGAACCGGCCATTCGCCATGTCACCGTGGCCCTGGGTTCACTCCATGAAACCTTTGAACGCGATGTGGCCCCATTCCGCTCGGGTCAATTGGCTTCCAACGGCACCTTCGCCCTGCATCAATATCTATCTGCTATGCGCTGCTTAATGCCCACGCCCACCAGCTCGCAACCTCTTGACGTTTGCCTAATATCCTGTGTTCTGTTCGCTTGTTTTGAGGTGCGTTTCTATTCCTCCCTTGCAGAGCGATGCGTACTAACTCCAATGTTTAGGCCATGCGTGGTCACTACGGACCAGCCATCACACACATCTCCAGCGGACTGAAGATCCTTGCCGAGATCCGAAGAAACGCTTCTAGCACATTTGTAACGTCTGACTTGAATAGAAGGCCGTATATTCCAATGAATGTATTGTGTGGTTTGTTCACACGCCTCCAGGGCCAGGCCGCTGTTGTACGGGTATCCCTTTTCGGAAATCGTCCCCATTGCTAATCACTTTTGTCACAGACCGATGAAGATATCCGTTCAGATCAATTCAATATATGGCCTGAATTGACTATAGATCTCACCCGGCCCGTTGGTTTCGATTCTCTAGCTGACGCGCGTGAAATGCTCGAGACCTACACTTATTGGTACCGACAGCAGGACGCACGGAGAATATCTCGAACGGAACAACTCAAGACTCAGCATTCAGAGATGATTGCAGATTCAATCGCCAATCTTACACGTGATGCCGTTACCCTACGCGATACTGGGCTCTCGTTGCTGGAGCGCTGGTCTACAGCGCTGGAGGAATTTTTGCATAAGCGCGGTGCCTCTCTTTCCACTCGCGAGCGCCGGGGAGCCGCCATTCTACAACTACGCAAGATTGACTGCTTCGTAGCACTCAATGCCCAACCACTAGCCCCCGAGTTAGAGGCAGAGAATTCAAGTTCTTTTGCCTGGGACAAGTTCTGCCCTTTTTTCGAGCAGATGGTGTCTCTAGGCGAGTCGATCAATGACTTATATTCTTCTCCTTCGTCTTCGCCATCTTGTTCGGTCTCGTCATATCCATCCTCATCAAAGACATTTTCGCTCGACTTCGGCATCATTGCAAGCATGTTCAACGTCGCTGCTCATTGTCGCGACCCCTACATCCGAAGGCGTGCCGTAAGCGTACTTCGCTCCTCCACCGTCCAGGAAGGGGTGTGGAACAGCGTCGCTATAGCGGCTATCGCAGCGAAGTGGGTCGAAATCGAAGAGGAAGGGCTGGGGCCCATAACAAGCTGCGCAGATATACCTGCTGCAGCAAGACTAGCGCAGTTTATGCCTGTCTTCGACGTGGGTCAGCCCAGTGTGCAGGTATATTTTAGCCATTCGCTCATTTTGGATCCTGCGAATGTGCGCAGAGAAGTATTGCAATGGTAGGATAGATGTTAGACAATAAAGAGTTTCAATGTATACTATAAGGCAAGCAGGTACAGAATGATAGCTATTCCTAGTCATCTAGCGATACCAAAATTACCTCTTGATGGATCGGAGCCTGGGTACCAAAAGGTATTTTCAGCTCCAGCCTGAAGCACATCAAAATAAAAGATGAAATTTCAATAGTTAAGTACAAATCCGATAAGGAAGAATCAAAAATATCTGTTACAAAGTAAAGTACGCAATAGTCGCAGCGTATGTGTCCAAATTGTCACCGACGACAGCCAAAGAAGTCCCATCCTTGACAATCATGTGCGTCGTGCCAACTGTACTCAGAGCATACACCACCAAACTGCTCGTGCTACCTTCGATGCTAAAGATTTCGCTTTGGCAGTTTTCGGGTAACGGGAATGTCGAGCAAGTGGTGCTGTAGTGGTTGAAAAAACTGTACAATCCTGCTCCGTAGATGTTAATATTACTGCTATCGAGGACACGAAGTCCTAATGAGTCGCAGTTTCCGGAGAGACAGCTGCTGTAGTCTGGATCTTTCAAAGCGGAGTTGGTAGGATAGGGGCTATTTGCCGCATCAGGGTTGGGTTGGTAGTATCTGAAAGGTAGTTAGTGAGATGTAAAATAAGACTTCGTGCTTGGTCTTCAAACTACTTACGGTGTTTCTGTTTGGATGAACCCTGCCACGACTGACTTGGCCCCCGAGAATTGATACTGATAGAGAGAGTGGTGCTCAACAGCCGTTCCATACCTGATAAAGTTAGCGACAAAGCAATCTGAAATTCCGATGGTGTACTTACAGCCATATGTTTTGGCCTTCAACCAGCAGACCTCTTCCGGAGTAGACGGAGATCTGAGTATTATCAGCACTGTCAAGGTCATGGTCTGCTGTCCACAGCCAGACATTGTCTAAATACACCCCACTGGCGCTACTAGTTATGTGCATAGACATGTAAGCAACCTCGCAAGCGGCAGATACAGCCGCAGAGGTTGGGCACTGAGCCACCTGCTGCTGAGAGCCGGCGAAGCCACCAATGCGAGTGTGGACATCCCACATTCCGGAGCCCGAGCTTGCAGCCAAGTTCCATTCGATCAAAACGGCGCCAGGAGTAGATCCTTGCGTGCTGACAATCATATCAGACCACTCAACTGAGCCCGATTCGCCGGATTTGCCAACTTGAATAACCGGAACGGGATTCGAGATGCTTGAAAAAGCACTTCCACTTGCCATGATCACTGGGTATGCTTCTCCGACGATCCGCGATCCAGGAGGGAAGTATATAGTCTTTGTGACCTTGTAGGTTCCTTGATCGAAGAAGACAATCTTGCCAGAAGATGCAGCCGAGGTCAAAGCCGATTGAATGGCAGATGTATCGTCTGTAGAGCCATCTCCAGCAGCTCCGGCACTTCTAATGCTGACAAACAATGACTGAGCAGATGCTTCGTACTGAGGCTTGCTCTTTGTATAGTATTTCGACGATCCACTTGCCAGCAGTGCGCTGGGGCGTGTTGGCGCAGTGAAAGTACCTTGAAAGTTGGTAGGTCCGTTAGAGAGTATACTTATGGCCCTGTCCCCAAGCACCAATTGTTGTGGTGCCGCCAGCAAGAACGGTGCCACTCGGACCCTTTACTGCAACTGGGACATTCTCAAGAGCAATATTCTCCAGAATAAGACTTCCGTTGCTTGAGGTTGAAGACTGCCAAGCACTAGTCACAAAGGTCGAGCAATCCTGAATGGTACTGTCAAGAACAACGACTGATCCCACGAGTTGATTCCCAACACCGCCATTATTAACTGAAATGGCAGTAGTACAGTTCGTGATCGTGAGACCCTGGTAGGTCCAGCCCCAATCCCAGATTTGAGAAATACCCGTCACTGCGTCCGAAACTACCAAGTTGCGCATGGTGAATTGTTGATTGCCGACGTTCGCACCGTACAGGCCGCCGGTGATCGTGATATCAGACAAGAACCCACCAGAGCCTAATTCTCACAGTCAGTTCCATCATATGAAGGGATGGGTTTGTTGATCTCACCATTCTCAATGAATAAGCCTTGGTGTTGGGTCCCAGAACCAGAGCTCAGAACGATATCCACATTCTGGATACTGGTCGCCTGTCCAGTCGGCCAATGAATTCCAGTGGCAGCTGAGCTCGCGGGGATATTGGTCAGGTCCAGTTTCAAATTGCGGATCTGTCTGAAGAAGACGTTCGTTGAAGTCCATCCTTGATTGCCATCGCTTTGGTATTGGTCTCCATCGATCAACCCAAGTCCACTAAAACCGGCAGTGGCCTTGATTACGGGCATGGAATTTGGGTTTCCAATCAGCTGAGTGAAGTAGTAGTCGATGATGGATGAAGAAATCAGGTATGTTCCCGCCGGGAAGTAAACGATAGCGGGAGTGGTGGTCGAGCTCTCACGACTCGCGGGTCCAAAACGACCGCCAGCACTGATTGCAGAATTAATTGCAGCAGTATCATCGGTCACTCCGTCGCCTACAAAGCATCAGTATTGTATCTAGATTTGATGATAAGCGGGAGACTACCTTTGGCGCCATAGTCCATGACATTGCGGAAAACAGTGTAGCTGGAAGGGTTTGAGTTGAAAGCAGCTTTGCCCTGATGAGAAATACCGGCAAGCCAATACGACGCGTCTGCTACTGCTGCTGCTTCAATGGCAATATTGGCGTCAACGGCCTCGGTGCTTTTGCTCAGCTCGGCGGAGGCAGTTCCAGTAGGGCCATCATAGTCTGTCCAGTTTGCCAGGGGCTTCAAGGCAGATTGGACGAGCTCATCCACAGCCGGGATATCCAGAAGCTGTCCACGAACACATGATACCAGGGAAACAAGCGTGATCACCGAAACATAATGCATTTTGACTCCAAGCACAGATCACAAAGGATGTGGAGCAAATTATGCAGCGGGGGTGCACCGTTTCTTATACCCACGCATCCACATTCAGCTTCGGCATTTCTTCTAGATCCAAGGAGCTATGCATTTAGCGTGGAGAAGGCGCGCATGACAATTCAAGGAAAAGGAATGAGAGCCCACGCGGTCCACGTTGATATTGCCGAAAGTGACCCCGAACGCGCAACGAGTGCCACCCCGGAGTACTACTTGAGACGGGGAAAATAAAATCGAATGACTCCAGGGCCCTCAAATTACCGGCAGAGGCTGGTTTGGCATTTCAGCCATCGCCAGTCAGGGCATTTATTCACGCTGTCACGCTGGACCTGCCTCATGATCTAGGGGCGAGGTAAAATGAAAATAAGGAATAGACCGCGCCGATCGCGCCCCATGGGGGATCGAGTCCCCTGTCGAAGCTGCAGGCTGGAGCCAATAGCGAGGAAAATCACTGCCACCACACATTTTGCTCGAGCTCAAAGGGAACTAGGCGGACGGAGTGGGCAGCAAAGAGGAATGGAATGTGACTAGCTGCAGAATCTATTGGCGCCACTTTGGGGGAAATGCAACTCAGGGGTCACGCATTGTGACAGCCCTGGAGGTAGTCGAGAGGAGTTCAAGTTGAGGAGGAATTAAATATCGCATCGGAAGGAACTGTTTCCAAGTAACCACCTGCCCAGGTGCCAGTGGACATGTGTCCGAATACCTCTCTATCCGTGAGGTACGAAGTGCCTAGTACTACGTGCTGGCTCGAATGTATATATCGGAAGGATCCACGCAAGAACCCAAGGATAACCTTGGTTTATCTTGCAAAACATCAGATCACAAAAACAACGTGGCTTTGGATAAACCTGCCCAATCCAATAGCTCCGCTACGATAGTCATGTATTTTCGCTCGCCCCGGTCACCGGTGTAGTATACTATATATCATTCTGCAGAGGGGTAAAAGCACCGGGTGAGAACTTGAAGCAAGCGCTATACTAGCAAGCGAACAATCTCTATTTAGACTGAAAGCCATGCAAGTGCTCGTGGCAAAAATTAAGAAACCACCCAGGTTTTCGTTAGTGATGACAATTAGGTTCGCGACTTGAAACCGTTCGGTCAAAGGGGCTTGGGTCTGGATTGCCAGTAAGACCGGACTCTGGGAAGTTAGAACTCCGGATCAAGATTGGATACGGAGTAAACGGAGGATATGGGACAGATCGCGATCGCAGAACGGTGCAAAGATGAATGATGCCCCGAAGAAGACCCCCGGTGAACCGTGCACGAAGACTGCATGAGTTGCTGCGTCCACCCACTGCAGAAGCGGTTTTGAGTCGGACCTGAAGAGGATACAATGTATGGTTACCACGACGTCATTGAAGAGGCAGAACTTTTGCATCGGAGAAGCTTCGATGAATGTCGCCGGGGGTTCTTCTGTCGAGACCGTATCTGGTTTGAGTATAACCGAGCTTCCACGAAAGAAAGGAAGGTTAAGTAATTGTACTCAAAGAGAGATAGATACTCGTAGTGGAGAGAAGATGCCCATGCAACACACATTCATGCCAAGACAACCTCACGTGACGGCAGAAATGGGTGGGCGTCCGCGAGATTTGGCAGTCTCCGCGTTCGAAAAAAAAAATATCCCCAGGGCCAAATCAACCTCCTCCCTCCCTTCCGACATCGCGAAAAGACTGTATCTCCATCGAAGAGATCAGTTCACCATCCTATCCTTCCGATTTTTGACCCTGGTGACTCCACCGTCGTAGTCAGCTTGCGCGACGGATCGTGGGCAGAAGGTCGTGTCACGGAACAAGACCAAGACCTCAACATCTCCCCATCGAATCTTGCAGAGACAAATTAGCTTTTGCTCTCTGGGTAATTCAAGATATCAAATCGGTGATCTCCGAAGTTTTAGTCCTCTCTCGCCTTTCTCCCGATACCGCGCGACGAACAGACGAAGCTCTCTCACAGCGGCTTATCCCACGCGCGTGCGAGGTGACCAGAGCTCCCCCACGACCACAACAAGGCCTGGGATAGATAAATAAACCTCCCTTGAAAACGACCCTAGGGAATAGTTGAAGAAACCGAGGAGGATTTTGGATGATTTTGGATTGAAACCTAAAAGATCGCAATTGATCTTGGGAAGGCACGACTGTGGTTTAAATTTCACTGTTCCCGGTTGCTCCTGCTTCAGCATCACCACCACCACCGTCCATCACCACAACAACAACAAACATCAACAAACAAACAACCTCCACAACAGGTTGTAGTATGTCAAAACGCTCAGCCCAAGGTCCCCAAGGATCCAAAGACGACGACCCTTTTCTTGAAATGTCGAGCACTCCAAACGAAGCGCCTCAGCGCGCCACTGCCGCTCAGTTGGCTAGCAGAAAGTAAGTGACACACACACCCCCCGGTTCCCCTTCAGGAGCAGTGCTGGTATGGTGATGAAAGTCGAGGTTCCCTAGGCGAGGACAAAGAATCCTGCCTATGAGAAAAAGTCCAGGTCGAGGTGCACGGAGACAGACAGAGTGCGGGGGACGCGAGAGCTGACAGCAAGTGAATGTGCTGTGGCATCCTCTCGTGCTCTCACTCTGATACTCTCATCCATGATTCACCTCCTCCTCCTCCATCCACCAGACTCTGCTTCTCTACACCACTCCATTACTGCTTCTCTTTGTCTCTATTCAATCCACACATTGAGATATGCGCTTTTTCCGTCGCATCATCGAAATGTCGCATCTCAATCTCCTCCGTAGCATCCGCAGCAGGAATTCCCAGAGCCCACCAGCTAACAGTCAATCACCCAACAGAATCAAGGATATCCGCCGACGCCCTCGAGGCACAACCCCGACTGGCGGTGCTGGCGCAGACCAACAACCCTCCAATGCCTTCGGTGGCCTTTCTACCCCCAGCTTTTCAAACCCCGCTCCCAGTTTTGGAGCTCCTCCAGCTCAATCTGGAGGCTTCACTTTCGGCCAGACCCAGAGCCAAAGTTTCCCGGGAGCCAGCTCCGGCCCCAGCCAGCCTAGCCAGGGCAGTGCTTCACCCTTCTCGTTTGGAGGCGGCGGCGGCGGAGGTGCTGCTCAAACTGGCTTCAATTTCGGGAACTCTTCTGGTGGATTCGGTTCTTCTACGTTCAACAACCCTTTTGCTAGCGATGCTAGCAAAGCTGCCCCCACCCCGACTACCCAGAGCGCTTCCTTCACAGGTTTCAATTTCGGTAACCAAACCACTTCTCAACCCGCACAACCATCCCAGCCTGCCTTCTCCTTCGGTGCGCCACAAACCGCGACTCCCTCGATGGGTTCTGGCATGTTTGGTCAATCAAACGCCATGAACTCCGCTTCCACCCCCGCTGATTCTATGCAAATGTCGCCGGACGCCAAACCAAAGACCTCCACTACGACCCAATCATCTTTCCAAAGCCGCAATCTCTTCGGAGAGTCGGCGCCCAATTTGTTCTCTCCAAAGCCTGATACCCAGGCCGGTAACCCATTCAGTAACTTGAATGGCACTTCGACCGCTGACAAGCCCGCGAGTGACAAGGCCGAAGGCTTTGCTGCCAAGCCTGCGTTTGCTGGTCAATCAACCCCAGCATCTAACCAAGCTCCTCAATTTGGAAACCTATTTGGTGCCCCCGCTACCGCTGCAAAACCATCAGAATCTGAGAAGCCTGCATCGACGAACATGTTTGGAGCTGGCTCGACCCAGTCTGCATTCCCGGGCCTGTCGAGCACGAAGCCTGCGACTGAGCAAGCCACTCAAAATAACATTTTCGCACCGAAGTCCACCTCGGAGCAGAAAACCGACTCCCCTGCCGATGCCAACCCATTCAAGAACCTCTTCGGAGCTGGTTCAGCTACTCCTCAAACGTCCGCCCCTCCGGCTCAGGCTTCTCCAGCTCAGAATCTTTTCGCTCCAAAGCCAGCCTCGGAGGATCCCCCAAGAAAACCTGCGGAAGCTCAGCCATTCAAAAACCTGTTCGGTGGAGCTGCTACTTCCAGCACGCCTAAACCTGCTGAGCCCTCGGCATCTACCAACCTGTTTTCACCTAAGCCAGCCGACGCTACGCTGTCTAAATCTCTATTTGGGGCTCCTGCTGGCACTCCCAAGCCTTTTGAAGCCCCCAAGGAGCAGCCAACCCCAGCACAGAATCTTTTCGCTCCTAAGCCGACCTCGGATCAACCCGCGACAAACAATCTATTCGCGTCAAAACCGGCAACAGACCAAGCTTCCGAGAAGCCGCCCAACTCCAACCCATTTGGATCTTTGCTTGGAGCGTCTGCCCCAAAGCCTAATTCATCGGAGCCGGAGCCCGCCAAACCCCAATCTACCCCGACACCAAATCTATTCGCATCTTCACCGGCCAAGGCACAGGCGTCGACAACCTCGGCCAAGTCTTTGGGCGGTCTCTTCGGCGCCAAGCCCGATACGACCGCGCAGGCCGCTGCTCCTCCGACTCCAGTCTTTTCAAATGCTAAGCCGACGACCGCTCCTCCGATTCCGAAGTCGGGTTTGGCTGATAGCGTGGACAAGAGCAATTCCGAACTAGTGAAGAAGCTTCGCATTCTGGATACAATTTTCAAGGAGGAGTTGTCCACCTACCAACCTGGCGTAGATGGGTTTGACCGTTTGATTATGCATTATCTCGCTGTACGTCATTCAATTGGCGCGCCAGTCGGTATTAAGAATGACTGGAAGAACTTTGGGACGACACCTGTTCCTAATGGCCAAGTTGCTAAATCTTCTGTGAAACGGGTGAATGACTCGACCACCTCCAGCGTGTTCGCACAGTCGTTCTCGTCCCCAGCAAAGGCAATTGATCCAGTGAATGCAGCGGTCAAGAAGCCCGATAATCCGTTCGCCAAGCTTAACACCGCAGACGCCGGATACTCGTCCAAGCCCGCTGAAAATCCATTTGCGAAGATTCCCACCAGCGCCACTAGTGCCACTTCTGAATCTGCTCCCATGGCTGCTGAGAACCCCTTCGCCAAGATCCCGACCACGACTCAAACGTCAACTCCCTCGGCTCCGACAGTCAAGAAGTCTGACACACCTGCTGCTCCAAAGCTGGCGGGTAATATGTTTGCAGGTGCTCAATCAGCGAATACCAATGGCTCGGCAGCTCCTCTTTCTATGCCCAAGTTTGGCAACACCACTGGCGGTGTGGACTTCATGGCACAGTTTAAAAAGAAGGCAGAAGAGACCGCGGCCAAAGAAAAGGCTAAGCGGAAGGCAGAGGACTTCGACTCTGATGAAGATGACGAGGAGGAATGGGAGCGTCGTGATGCTGAGCAGCAACGTGAGAAGCGTGCCAAGTTGGAGGGCGCTTCGAAAAAGAAGGCAGTTTTCGTTCCCGGCAAGGGCTTCTCATTTGTTGATGCGGACGAGGAACCACAAGAGGATTCTTCTAAGAAGCTTGCGCTGCCTGCCCCTTCTCCTGCTCCTTCTTCTAGCTCGATCTTTGATTCTTCGAGCCTGCCCGTCCCGGCCTCGCAAAACATTTTCGGTCGCATCTCGTCGACAACTCCCCAACCCGCCGATGATGGTAATGACAGCGACGCCTCATCAGAGGCGAAACCTCGATCACCGAAGCGCCGTGTCTCTGGCGATGGCAATGATGAAGACGACGATTCTGACGCTGCTGGGCACAAGTCTAAGCGAACAAAGGCAACCGAAAATGGCGATACAAGCAAGTCTAGCTTGGACACACCCCTTCCGGCGCCGACTGCTGCAGCAAGCCGAAGCCTTTTCGACCGTATCGAATCCCCAACCCCAAGCATTGCTTCTCCCAAGCCAGCTTCGGGCGGCATCAACTTCGGTGCCTCTACCCCTTCAAATTCAACAAACCCTTTCGCGTCTCTCGGCGCAAAGTCTCAGACTTCTCAGCTCTTTGGTGCCTCGTTTGGCACCGGCTCGTCCCTGCCGGCATCTACCACTTCCCCAGCTCCGGCCGACAATACCTGGAAGCCCTCCACCCCCATCAAGTTTGCCACCGACACGAACTCAACCTCCGCCCTAGCCTCCACTGAGGCATCAGCTCAGACTTCTGGTGCTGAAAACGCCACCTCCGGAGCTGCAACACCCGATGAAGAGGGTGGTGCACCTGGCTCTATATTTGACATGTCCTCCGCCAATGCTGGCGAGGAGGAAGAGACCGTGGTCTTTGAATGCCGCGCCCGCGCTTTCAAGTTGACCACTGGTTGGGTCTCCCAGGGCACTGGAGTTGTGCGACTGCTCAAGCATCCCGGCACCGGTCGTGCCCGAGTTGTTCTCCGTGCTGATCCTGGTGGCAACATCATCTTGAACACGCTTCTTAAGAAGGAGCTTGACTATGCGCGTACCAGCAATAGCATGCAATTCATGGTTCCTCAGGCTGATGGCAAGCCCGAGCAATGGGCTGTTCGAGTGAAGGCCGAGTCGATTGAGGCCCTCAACGAGCACTTCCAAGCTATTAAAAATTAGATTCTCACTTGAGAACAGGAGAGAAGGGGTTCACGTTGGCAGGTTGTTTCTTTTTTCCCTCTTCTTCTCTTTATTCCCTTTTTCCTACCATTCCCGAATGTACGATAATGCAAGGAATCTACGTTGCACGTTCCTGTCCCTGTTCCTGTTCTTATTTTTGTTTTCAGCATTCATCAGGCGAAAATATGCATTTTACCCCCGGCTCCCGGTTTCATCATATCATTGTGTTCAATCCCTCCGTTTGTGTATTTGTGTATTGTCCCAGTGGGGTTTAATAGACTAGCTAGCATTGAATGCCAGGTGCAGTTTGATCAAGCTAGGTACTTCCGAGGTTTCCAAGACGGCGTAGTACTAATAGGGCAGAAGGATCCTCAAAAAGATCGAACCCACCAATCGCTATCTTGATACTTTCTTACTCAAACACTACTAGTAATATGCGGGAACGACTACATCTACGGAAGGAAACGGAACAGAATTTGCACAATGCACACACAAATCAAGGGTATGAAGATATTTTATTTTGAAAAGCCCCAACCGAACCCCAGTTGTAACATGGAATCATAGAAGCAAGACGCCGCGGTTAAACCATTTATGCGTCATCGACGGTGGCGGTGTGCAGACCCTTGGGGTTCTTGACGTTGACGGCCTGGACGTGGGAGTAGAGACGCTCCTCAGCACCCTCCTCGTCGTTACGCTTGCGGGAAATGCGGACGCGCAGGCGGAAAGGGACACCCTTGATGCCGGCCTCCCAGACCTTCTTGTTGAGCTGGGGGTCGAGGCGGACGTCCTTGGTACCCTGTGAAGGGGTCAGCGGTGGTCTTTCTAGACGGAGACAGAGCCAAGGCCAAGTGTGCGCATGCGCACTTGCGTCCGAGGACAAGGGGAAAGGGGAAAAAACTCACCATGGCGTGCTCAGCGAAGGCACGGATCTCCTTGATGGCACGAGGAGCACGCTTCTTGAAGCTAACACCGTGGCACTATACCGAAAAAGAAGGTACAATCAGTCTTCCGTCCGAATGCCATCTGGTAGAGACGCTGCTCTGCGATGATTGTTTCGGCCATAAAGGTGGACTTCATCAAACTAATTTCTTCTTGTGATCGATTTCGAGGGAAAGGCGTGTGTATGTATGCCAACTGTTCCACGTCCCTACAATTGCGAGTCGGAACTCGCAATTGGAGGAGATGTTTTCCAGTTGTCCGGTCGTCGCGCAGTCACTTTGCGGTTTCCCACACAGACGGTGCAGCAGTCGGGGAGTGAGGGGAATCGAGGCAATGGACCAAAAGAGATTGTTGAAGATCTCATTTTGGCAATAGCTTCGAGAACCCGCACGCACACATATTTTCGATTCTTGTCAATTCCCAGAAAAAGGTCTTCCGTTTCCGGAGCTTTTGTGTGTTCTCTGTCCATTTTGTTTGATTTCCTTATTGCGCCTTGACGGTCGTCGCAGATCAGGTTTTTTTGGGATTTCGGGGGTTTTTCAACATACCCTCTTGTGCAGGTTGATGGTGTACTCGCGGGTCACCACATCGGCGATGGCCGAGCGGGTCTTCTTGCCAGTGTTGACGTTGGACATTTCTGAGGAGTGAAATGTTAGCAAAGGCAGATATGAGGCGATTCGGAAAGCGACGAACTGGTTGGGGCGGTGTCGACTGTGGGCGGAAGTTGTCGATGAGAGAAATTCTGGGTTTGTGGCCGCGGATGAGTGTGGCTCGCTTATCGTGTGGGAGATCGCTGATTGGTGGGGTCATGTGATACGGCTCCACCTATATTGGTCCCATTGCGGTAAAGCATTAGTGGCCTGATTATCAAGGCAGATATCCTATCTATAGTTAGTTAACTATTTAGTTACCACCAGCTTTTGCAATATGCTAGATTATAAGGAAATTGAAGTTTATAATAATCTATTACGCCCTTCCTAAGGTAAAGAGTAAGCGATCTGCTACAGCTTGAGTGGAAAGTAATACAGGCCCGGGTCTTTATTTAGTCATCCCAATCACTATCTACTCATTCATCAAGTTATACATATGGGAATCATTTTGAGCCCTCTCCGCTCACATCGGGATACACGTCAAATCGGCGCTGGGTATAAATGGGGATGCCCTTGCGAGTGTTCACGATGGTATCATTATCCAAGTCCGCATAGATAATCGTCTCCTTCTCCTCCGCTTCAGTCAAAATCTTCGCACTGGGGTCGCTGATCAAACTGTGGCCGTACGCATGGTACGACGCGTCCAGGTCTCGCGATGGACTGCACAGAGCAACATAGGTCTGGTTATCCACCGCACGAGCTCGACCCAGAAGAGACCAGTGCAGAGGTCCAGTGGTCGTGTTGAAGGCACCGGGGTAGACCAGCAGGAATGCGCCCTTGCGAGCCGCAATCATGGCGGACTCCGGGAAACGAATATCATAGCAGATCGACAGGCCAATCTTGCCGTATTCTGGGAGATCGATCACGGTCAATTGGTTGCCCGGGGAGAGGACCTCGCTCTCCTTGAACGTAATCTTCCCGGGAATATCGATATCGAACAGATGCGTCTTGCGGTGGGTACCGATCAAGGAGCCCGAGGGCGAGAAGACTAGTGAGGTATTGAAGTACTTCTTCGTCTCCGGCTCCAGCTCGGGTATACTTCCGCCGATAAGGTATGCATTTGCCTCAGCGGCGATCGCCGACAGGGCGTGGAACGAGGGGACTGCTCCTTCGTGGGAGGGGAAGGATGGAGGGTCTCGGCGTATTTAGGGAAATATGACGTGCCGTACGGAGAGTTGAAGCATTCTGGGAGGACGATCAAGCGTGCGCCGGCCTTTGCGGCTTCGAGGACCTTACTTCGAGCGTGGGAGAGGTTGACGGACTTGTCCGCGCCTAGACTCGGGGAATTAATGGCGCTCCAAGGCTAGCGAGGATCGTGACAGGGGAAGCCTACCTGATGCGAGCTGCACCAAAGCAAGCTTAAGAGGCTTCTTCAAGAATGTAGCCATGTTGGGTGTGATTGGGAGGGTGGGAGAAGAAAGAAAGGAAGTTCCACAGGGTAGTAAAATGTTGAAATGTTTGAAATGGGGAAGGGAGCCTCTAAGAGACCGCTCCGAAGTCCGAAGTGCGGGGACAAGATAAGGCGCGATATTCCAAGGTAAGGTCGAACCACTGACAACCTCCGTTTTCTCCGATCTAGTGGAGAAAAAAGCCGACCAAAAAGCCGATGGGGATAGATGATGGCAAAATTAGAGGGAATGGTACCAAGAAGAGGAGAAAATGGAGAAAGACCTCGGGAATTCCGCATAGACAGTGTCTGCCAAGACAATTTTGGGGTAGTTCCCCAGCGCCCCCATTATATACTTTCTACCAGGGTTGTATTTACTCCAATTTGAATTATTAGGGTGGGGGTGTCAGAAATGGAGGTTAAATTGAAAAATAGTATTCATGGATGATGTCTGTTGTATGCACCTGTACGAAACAGCTTGGATACTCCGCCATCCTCACTGCTTGTCAGTGTTCACAGCATACTTGCTGTACTTCCGAATCTTGGGTCCATAGATAAAAAGCAAATAAGGAATAAATGCCATCAATCCACTAATCGATCCCAATATCGTCAAGGTATACTGGACTCCGATAGAACGGTAAATCGGGACTCCAGCAACCGTCATACCACCCGCAACAACATAACGTGTGAAGACCAGGAATCCCAGAGCCGACGCCGAATACACTCCGTAAGAGTCAATGACATACATGTAAGCGACAATGAAAATTGTCGTAATGCCATATCCAAAAAGAGCCGAAGCAATGAGCGGAGACCAAATCGAGATGGATGACTTTGGTCAAGTCAGTAAAATTCGCACCGTTTCGTCGGGAAAACTTACGTTGGAAGTCCATCCCATCCAGAATAAACTGATTGGGACAGCGGGAGCACCTCCGAGCATCGCATACCAAAGCCGTGTTTCAGGCACAATTGTGGAAGTTTTCCGGTACTCCTTTGCCGTCCACGAGTATACTAATGGGACGATACACGTCACCAGGAGAATCCCACATAGCATACCGGCCCAGGCGACATTAGTAATTCCTTGCGATACTCCGTATGTGTCGGCAAAGATGAATGTGTAGCCCTCCAGAAAAGTGAATAGGACGATATAAACCACCGTCAGATATAGCGACATCAAGATCAAAATCAACTCGGAATAAAACAAGATAAATGGGCGGTAAACAGACGTCAAGAGACGACGTCCCAAACTTTCACGCTTCATTTCAATCGGTGCTCGATATCGTTTATCACCAGTTTCCTTGCGAAGGATCTTCGCCTTCCAGTGCAAGAGAAGGCTTCCGTATGTTTCGGGTTGAAGGAGAAGAACAATGATGAGGATCACGCCCCCCATAATCAGCATGATCCATTCCAACCAGCGCCACCCCAGTGTTTGTGGAATATAGCTACCGATAATTTGGCCAATCATTGGTCCTGAGAACGCTGGGATTGCATAGGCGGGAAATGCATATGCCTTTTGTGCTGGATCCCAGAGGTCAGCGACTGTTCCTCCAGCGCAGCTTAGGGGAGTCGACCCAAAGAACCCTGCAAAGAACCGGAAGATAAGATGGCTGTGGAGATTTGGGGCGAGCGCGGAGGCCATGATGAAAATCAAGAAAAGAAGCATCGTTATGAGATAAACTGCATTCCGTCCAAATGTCTCGGAGAATGGGCCTGAGAGGAGTGACCCGGCACCAAACCCGACAAGGAAGAGACCTAAAGATCACTGTTAGCTTTCTTGGAATGGCTGTGCGAAATCGAAGAGCCATTTACCTGTTGCTAGAGATCCAACCACGTCAGTTACACCAAAATCTTCACTGTATTGTAGCACGCCACAAGCATCAATTGCAGACGCTGCTGTAACAGAGATAGCAATGAGAGATACCAAAAAAGTCATAAATAGTTTCCGCCTAACAGTTGCATTGGCAGGGTTCAGGGGATCTTCAGGGCCGTCCCAGCCGACCATGATCAGAGACTCATTGTCGGCAACGACTTGTGTAGAGGGGCCCTTCTCAGCATCAAGTAGTTTTGGATGGTATAAAGGACAACTGGAAGAATTGAGTAAGTTGATTGAACATTGACGACAAAGAGTGAAGAGCGATATGACAAACCTGGAATTGTGTGGCGACCCGATAGTATAGCCCTCACAACTACATTTCGATTCGATTTCAGCCAGCTGGCGGCGAACCGCCTGTCTGATCCTACGATATTGTAGGTAAGACTCCATTACAATGAAGTGACCAACCTGGAGCCCCTGCTATCTTTGAAATAAAAATCAAAGCCGAGACCATCACCGGTGGAGATTGTTGATTTTTAAAACCGCCAAATTTTCCACTGGTACCCACAATGCTCCTCATCCAAGGCCGGGCCCGCAAACTACCCAGGCACACAATTGGGTACCGAATTTCTACATGAAAACGCCGTGCTAAGCAGCTTCATATGGCGTTTGGTGTATTGGCTGTCGTTCTCTCTTTATAACTATGATGTCTCGTTCACTGATGGTCGGATTTGACCCGATACTTAGAAATTTAGCATCCACAGGCCGTGCACATGGACCTACTAGTTCCTGCATGACTCATGAGAATTTTGATGGAAAAGTGAATGAAGTATGGAGTACATAAATTGAGGATTATTAATTGTCTTAATGGCCAAAGCTTCAGATCTCCTTTTCATTAATGCCATGTATGGATCTGCAGCGTAGCTGGCAGCCCGTTTTTGCCGAGTCAACCCATCTCGGTGGATCCCATTCCTCCCCGAAAGTTAGCCTTAGCCTTATCAGTGGGATCTTCCTAGCATCCACCCAGCTGAACGACCTTTTGACCCCTATCCTCGGCAACTCATTCCGACTCTACTCCATGGTGCAGATTATCAAGCAGGTGACCGAGGCTACCCCGTTTGATTTGACACTCAGTCACAAAAGAGGAGACTATGCGAAAAACAAGTTTTATTTTACCACCTTGAAATTTCATTTAATGCAACGACATGGCTCAACTTGGGTGCCAGTAGTTTTGTAACGTGAAAATTTGGATGCGATGGGAAAACGCCATCCAGAATAACAAGAATACCTAATATCCAATTCAAACTCATTCCGCAGAATCAAAACTTCATGGACTCTACGCCATTCTTGAATCGATTTTCAGCCTCCTGCCAGTTGATGACCTTCCAGATGTTGGAAATGTACGACGGTTTGTCATTTTTATACTTGGAAAATTAGCGTGGCATTCTTCTCGCGAGTCATGACTCGCAGCATATCAACTCAACTCACCTGGAGATAGTAGGCATGCTCCCACATGTCGACGCCAAAGATGGGCACCGCATCTTCCACTGGATCTTGGTCTTTCAAACTGATGACCTCCAGTTTGCCCTCGACCTGCTTATTTGCAAGCCATCCCCAACCACTGCCCTGCAAGTCGGCCAAAACGGTATTGAATTCGTCTTTGAATTTCTGGATACTGCCCCACTGGTCCACGATTGCCTTTTTGAGCGTTGGTGCAGCCGTGTCAATATCAGTCTCCTTGGAACCAGGAGGGGCCAGGTTCTTCCAGAATAGAGAGTGATTGATATGACCTCCACCGTTAAAATTGACCTTCTTCTGCAGCGATACTAGTTGTCGCAGATTGCTGTCTTCCAAGGCTTGTGCTTGGCTGTTGAGGGCGGCATTTAGGTTGGTTACGTAGGCTTGGTGGTGCTTGTCGTGGTGGATCTGCATGATCTCCTTGGAGATGATGGGCTCAAGAGCCTTCTATTGTCAGACTTTGACACCACCAGAAAATGAAATTCGAAATGATACAATCGTGGGGCTTACATCGTATGCGTATGAAAGAGGCGGAAGTGTGTATTTCCCAGCCATCTTGGCTTGTCTTGTACTGAGTTCGATGAGGTCCCGGTATTCCAAAACGAGAGCACGCTTGTCAATGGGCGCGGCAAAAGCAAAAGAGAGAAGTGAAATTAAATAGAAAAGAGACAGCAATGGAGTAAAGCGAGTCATGGTTGAATTACCCCTCAGTTATTTCGACTAGAAACTAAACGAGCAAGTTCAGTGGACGGTAGTTGGGTACTTGGACTTGGCGTGGTACGGCTTGATGGGCGTACTCTGCAATGAAAAGATCACAACATTCAAGAATTCAATTCGTAAGGTCAGCGCGGATTTAAATACAAGTTAAAAGCAAGTTTGATAGAATGCCAAGCATTGTCAGTTGTACAGAGAGAAGATCATGCGGTGAAGATTGTTGGCTGTATAGTCACTATTCCCGAGACAAGGGTTTGCCCATAGCCCAGTTCAAAATGAACCTCATTATCCCAGGAGAGTACTCACCAGCTTGATTCTAGTGGCTTGGAGCTACTCCCCAGGCGGCTTATTACGAGGTCTGCGCCTGATGACCTGGCATTTAAGAATAGAAAGCTGCCAAGTCTTGCGGGGGTCGCCTTGCATAGCCCATCATTTCAGCCATGGCGGAGCAGCTCTATAATTGTGCTTGACTGGGATTTATGGTGATTTGTTTCTTCTTCAAGCTGGCTTGACTTTTTATCGAAGCTTTCCTTTTATTCTTGAAGACATGACTATATTAAGGCATTTATTGTATCATATTCAGGGCTTGCCGAGTCCTTCCTAATATATACCTTGCTAAGCCTAACTTGGGTATTGTTTGAGCATAATCATTTGAATTACCCAACGGTATGACCCATGTCTCCATTGACATTCTTTGTTTGCATTGCTCTAGCCCAGTCAGGTGACTGACATCATGATCGCAATGTTGCCCCCATTCTCTCTTCCCCCCTCTCCCCTTCTCATCCCCGCCGACAACCTCCCCAAACCAACACAATGGTGTCGCTCGATGATGTCAAAAGGCATAATGCCAGTCTAAAAGAATTTGGCCCAAATCTGGTTGCCGTATTTGGTATACATTCCATTTCCCATCGTTTCCGAGCGTCCGGTTTTCCAACGGGTTGATAAGCTGACATGGACGCTTGAAGTTGGTGGAACAAGCGGAATCGGCGAAGCAACCGCCCGTGCGTTTGTTCGCGACACGGTCTCCTCGCGAGTCTACCTTGTTGGGCGGAACGAGGCCCAGGCATCCAAAATTATCCAGGAATTGCGTCAGCTTAACCCGGACGGTCAGATCAGCTTCGTCAAATGTGAGGCTGCAAATCTCAAAAGTGTCGATGAAGCATGCAAGACGATTCAACAAAAAGAGGATAAGGTTAACCTAGTGTTCATGACCGCTGGAATTTTTACCACCAAAGGTCGCGATGGTGAGTCTCTACCAGCCCCCACCGGGACGTGTTGAATGGCCATCCGCTAACGGTCACGTAGAAACCGACGAGGGACTGGACAAGAAGTTCAGTTTGCATTATTATTCTCGTATGCGGTTCTTGTACAATCTACTGCCCCAGTTGACAGCCGCAAGTAAAGCCGACTCGTCTGCTGCCGGGATTGGCCTTGGTCACAATCTATCGAGAGTGGTGTCCGTGCTGTCTGCCGGTGACGAGGGACCTCTGAATATGGATGATCTCTCCCTGAAGAATAACTTTTCCCTGCGGAACTGCGCCAGGCATACTATTACCATGACATCGCTGTCCATGGAGGAGCTGGCCGCAGCACATCCGGCAACATCGTTTATTCATGCATACCCGTCAGCGGTCAAGACAGGCATCACACGGGGATTAGGACCGATTGCGCGAGGCGCATTAGAAGGGCTCTATTTCTTTGTCAAGCCCTTTTTTGTTTCCCTTGACGAGAGCGGAGAGCGTCATCTGTATGCCGCGACAAGTTCTCGCTTCTCTCCGCGAGGGGCTAAGGATGTGGCCGATGCTGCCCCTGGTTCAAATGGGGAGAAGGGCAGCGGTGCATATCTCCTGCACTGGGATGGGTCCGACAATGGGAATAAGAAGCCTCTTCAAGAACTTCGCAAGAGTGATACTGGGAAGACTGTGTGGAAGCATACACTAGATACTTTTGATTCGATTTGTGGCAAGAGCTAAAGAGCTTTCAATAGGTTTCTCTTGGTTATACAATAATAATAATGTAATGATGATAGTTTCATATTTACTTGGAGCAGTCTGGCGCCTCCAAGTTTGGCTGAACCTTGAATTATTCCGAGGAATCCCCTGTTGGAGGAAAGGAAGTATGTACCAGTGGCAGTGTGTATGTAGTAGATGTACATACTCCAATGAACTCTGAGTGATCAGCAACATCCTTGTTCCCCGCAACTCATTCCATCTCTACTCTACTTTCTTACTGCTACTCTATTCTCGCAATATACTAACTATAGTCTATAGTATCCCCGACCATCCCCTCTTGTTATACACCATCTCTATACTCTATACACTATACTCTACAGAGTCTACACTCGTCCATCTCAACCATGGAATACACCACCCGCATCACGTGGTTTGCCTCCGGAGGGGCGTGGACCCCCCCCGAAGTGCAAAAAAAAACAAAATCTTCCCAAAAAGAAACTAAAAGGACCGCTGGGCGAGAAGGGAAAAGAGAAAATTTTCTGCCTCCATCGTTTGTTTCTCTTTTGCGTGGATTCTCGCAGGTTGGCCGTTCCCACTCCCTCATACTCCCCTCCTTGACGACTCTTGAGGGCCTCTCAACCAGCAGCCCAACCCAATCCCGAACCCACCCCGTTTGCCACACCATGTTTGAGGACTTTTCATTCACTTCGCCCTCCTCCCGGCCTGCGCGGTTGGCGCTTGATGCAGAGGATCGGCTCATGGCCGACTGCAATAGCCCGTTAATCTCCCCACTGTCCTCGCGGTGTTCCTCGCCCCATCGACTCCGCACGCTTTCGCGCCCCCGATCCTCCTACTTTCGCTCGCAGCAGCCTCCGACCTCCGTTCCCCTGGCCTACGAACAGAACCGTCTCTCTATCTCCACGTTGACCCAGAAACTACATGAGCATACAATCCAGGGGCCGAATGGCGAGCGCATTCCTGATCAGGGGCACTTGGATCGTGAAG